ACAAATGCCTAATGGATGCATACAGCCTACAAGTGGAATTTATCAATTTTGATATCAAGTATTCCATTGTGTCTGTCAAGACAACAGTAAGCTAAAACTGTATACTGAATATACCAACTATTGCTATCACACAACACTCTCCTAACTTCTTCTCAAATCAAGTACTGAAGAAAGAGCAGCATTTTTACAAACTCTGCTCACATAGACTTGATTTAGCTGACTTACAGAGGTAAAGAGATTTAATGCAATATTCTACAATTTTTGACAGTAAAATGAATTAATCAAGACAAAATGAAGTCTTTCTGGTTTAGTAACAGATAGAGTTTAAGCAAGATATTCTACTTACGTGTTGGAAACTGAGGTAAACATGGATTGCCATCATCCTGTTTGAGCTGAATTCGTACTCTACCTCTGTACTGCACATCACGATTCCACTCTCTAGGATACATCTTATTTTTCTGTCATACAAAAGGAAAACTCATTTATGTATTAATTACTGGAACAATTTTCTGCAAAAATTGTCAGGGAGCATTTCATCTAAGTCACAGCATCATGGAATTCTTAGCAGATCCAAACAGCAACTGCAGCTCTCCATCAGCCTCATCCTCCAAACACTTTGCCACTGTAGTAGCTAGAGCCCAAAGCTACACAGTGTTACATTTTCAGAAGCACTGCTGTAACTTACTGTTCATTGCTGGTAGGTAACAATTCAGTGAGTAACCAGCTACAGGGACTGTTCTACATGCCTACCAGCCTGGAACGCACACCTAAGTTTCTGTCTCATCTCCATGGCCACAAACATTTCTGGACATCTAGAGACAATCTCTAGTAAGTTGCAGTAGGTCACAGACTGACATCCACAATTAATACTCACTGCCCTTATTTCTGCTACAGGCTGATTTCTGGTACTGGCTATTTCACAAGTGAGTGTGCACTGATAGGAAAGTATTTGTCTTTCAAAAAGCAAAGTGAATTTCTACAAGCTTTGGGATGCCAGTCACTTCTGAAAGAAAACATCTACAGTAAAGAACTGATAGAAAATTCCACAGTATTTTAAGTTATTAATCACTTCAGAAAACAAAGAGTGCTAGAAACACAAGCTCATTCCATCAGGAGAAAATTAATCAAGAAACTGAAGACCAAGCAAGTATGGCAGTAAATAACCACTGCATACTGCAACTCTAGTTGAAACGTAACTCCAAAGGACCGTGAAGATTTTAAGCAACAAAATTCTGTTATTATCAGACACTAGTTCCAAAAGGTAATACCTTTCAATACAAATGTGCTTTTTAAAATTTGCAGAGTTGCACCTTGCAAGATTTGCTTTTATTCTGACTGTTAGGAACTTTTAAGAAACTAGGATAGTCTTCTAAGAAGAGCAGTTAACAGAGTAATCTTTTTATAAGCATAAAAAGTGACACTGACTTAGAGATCCAAGCAATTCTTGCCTTGCATTCTGTTTTCAAACATTTCCTTCATCGTTTTACTCAGTTAACACTCAAAGGAAGAAAATATCTTGGCTGCTATAAAAGACTTTATTGCGATTTATTCTGTCGTAAGAAAAAATAAAATCATAGAAGACAAGACACATACCAAGGTGTCTGTTTTTTTGTGGTTTTGGTTTGGCTGTCTGGGGGAGGGGAGGGGCCTGGTTTTTGTTACCTCTAATAGCACGTTGAATCCAACTGCTGCACACACATCTTGGATTTCAGTAGATGTGGGATTTTCAACAGCCTGTTGAAACAACATGCTAAACATTAGTTAAACATTTTTGAGACAAGTTACCTATACAGAAATAGTGGCTTCTCTATATTGTGGAACTAGAAAAAATGGATGGGAAAGGGAAAATTCTTCAAATAGTGACAAATCCACTGCAAAAGTCACCTGGGAGCCCTTCTACAGTCCACAACACAAAAATAAGCAGACAAGGATATAGAGAAATCAGTGAAACAGAAAGCAGATGAGAGAATTATTTAGGACAGAGGAACAAAGAAGGAAACAGAATTGCCTAAGAAAAATAATTGAGATGGCATACAGTTACACAGAACTAAAAAAGATAGCTGAGTAAAGGACTAAAGGGAAATTTACAGCAACAAGTGCAGGAAACAGTGGAACTTTTTTTTTTTTTAGGCACAGGGCAGCAGATCCATTCCACAGGTAGATCTTTCATTGGCAGTGTATAAGCTGTATAATTATTTTTACTTTTTAAACTACTATCAGGAAAACAGACAAAAAACTAACAGTGAGAAAAGCCCTTAACAAACTCAGCATTTGCTTGTTAAAACTATTATAAAGAGTGAGAATCAAAACTATTCTGGACAGATTGAAAGCAACAGAAACAACTGCATGCCATATACATTTTCAGTTCCATCTTTGACAGAGACCAGCAAAGGAGACAAAGCACAGAATATGGGCATACTTAGGGAAGTCAGCCACCAAGCTCACAGTCATCAACTAATTATTCTTTCCTGCATCTCTTCCAAATTTGGCACATCAATTCTGTAGTAGATGGAACATGGCTGATTGTCATTACTTCAACATCTTGCCAAAGGTGCTGCTCAGATGAAAACAGAAACCCAGGGCTCTTCCATCAAACTAACTTGCCACGTGGGAATTTGGAAGATAACTTTGAAATTTAGTTCTATTTTCCAACTCTCTATAGAACTACTACAGAACAAAACAAAATATTCTTTTTTCCTGCCATCCACAAACTTACTTTGTCTATAGGTATCCTTCTTCCTTCCGCTATTGTCTTCTTGTTGTTTAAATATGCTGGATAAATGCAGATAAATCTAAAAAAGAGAAAACAACCAGTTTAAGCTGTATAAATTCTTAAAATTGTTCACATGTTCTCCTAGTAAAACAACAACAACAACAGAATGAGTATCACTGCCAAAGCACAGAATCTTCCACAGCAGTTCAGAACAACCACTCATTTTCCCAATTTGGTAAGGTGTTACATAGTCCCACTCTCAGTTATTCAGTACACAGCCTGACCACTTGGCAGAAACCCCATTTGCATGACTGCACTCAAGAAGAGTGCACAGAGGACAGAGATACCAATTTGAGGGGAAAAAAAGAGAGGTGAAAAAATTTTTTCAAACCCAAACACTGAGAGAAGAAAGCATACTTCTTTGATTCAATTTCACCGAATCAAACATATTCTTTTCAGTGAAAAGAATGAATAAAAGTTTCCTTAAAATGAGGTAGTACCTCTATTAGTGATTAAATACTTCATCAAAGAAAGAAGTGCTTTTTTCTTGTGTATTTGAGTTTTTTTCTATCCATGTACAAGAAGCTGGATTTCCTAAGTTACAAAGCCTCTGAAAAAAACCATACTTAAAGGTTTGCTTAAGTTAAATTATGAGTTTTCAAGATATTTAATCCCATCAAGCACATACAGGTACACAGAACCTCAATTATGCTTCCCATTAGAAAGAGAAGAAAAAAAAAAAGGCTGAAGTCTACAAGAAGGACTGCAATTATATGAGGAGTTATGGCAGTATAAGAAAATGGGGAAGAAGAGGTAAGCAAGTTATCTGGGGCAGTCTGAAGCCCACTTAGTTGGAGACAGACAAGGACCTCTGATCCTTTCTGCTCCAACCTCGTGGGCTGAGGGAAGAGAAGAACTGTACAGGCAAGAAAACTTGCGGATCACAATAAAAACTGCTTCATATGTGAAACTGAAGTGGAAGAAGAAAGAAAAGCAACAAAAGCAAACTGCAGGGGGAAGGCAGTTGCTCACCACCTCCCATGGGCAGACCAGTGCTCACACAGTTGCCAAAGAGAAGGTAGCTTACCTCCCTCTGATTACCCTCCCTTCACATCGCTGAGCACAGCATTTGGTGACTCTGACTCTCTGCAAGCCGACTACCTGTATCTACATGGAACAGTTCTGCACAGGAAAACGTCAGTCTTGCAACTGGCATTCTCAAGCGTCAACACGCTACACTGCCCACCAATTCTGTCCTGGCTACCTTCTGCGAGCTTTAAAAACGACGTGCTGTTTTACAGGAGTGATAGCACAGTGCGGCACCGAGCCACAGAGACAAGAGAACGACACCTTTTAACAACCTCACTTCAGCCGCACAAAATGAGCCTCGTTGACGTGGATCTCTGAGGGAAGCAGGGGCGACGGCGCAGCTCCTTGCTTTCAGCAGGGCGCGAACGCCGCTGACCCGCGCCGCCGCTCGGGGCCGGCCCCGTTACACCCGCACAAACTGCGCGGAGCGGCCGTGCCACCTCAGCACGTGGCCATGTTACGTCGCGCACAGAACGCCCCGAGAGAAAGGGACCATCGAGTCCAGCTGCCGGCTCCGCACACCACTACCCAAAATCCAAACCCACCGTCTGAAAGCGTTATCCAAACGCTGCTTCCACTTGAAGCCACCGCCCGGAAGCCTGTGCCACGGCCCGATCACCCTTCAGCCCCGTCCCGCCCCGCCAGCCCATCCCAGCACCACGGCCTCCCGCAGACACCGGCCGGTTGTGGCGGCCCATACATCGAGCCGCCCCTTGCCTCACCTCTCCTTGTCGGCCGGCGAAGCAGTAGCGGCCGCAGCCATTCTAACACGGCGGCCCTGACGGCCAGGCCGGCCCGCCTTCCCTCAACCCGGAAATCCCGCCCCCTCCTCCCATTTCCGGGGATTCGATTGGACAGTGCTGCCATCTGTAAAGCACAACGGCCTATCAGAAAGCGAGGCGTATCCGTCAGCGCCGGAAGTTTGAAGAGAGCCGGACCGTGCGTGGCAGCGGCATCCCGCAAGGGGCGGTGCGGTGCTGCGGGTTGCCCTAGAGTTCCCTGCGGGGTCTCGGTTCTGTATCGGGGACGTTCTGTGCCGGGAGGTCAGAGTGTGGCTTTCCGGCGCCTCGGGGCCCGTGGCACAGCCCATGTCTGTTTGGCCCGTGCTCGCTCGGCGCTTACCCTGACGGGGTGCTCAGAGGGTGGCTGTTGGCCGGCCACAGCGGTGTCCCTCAGGTTCACGGACGGCCCCGGGGCTTTGCGTCCCCCCCTGGAGATCTTTAGAACTGGTCAGACTCGGGCTGCGCCTGCCGGAGGACGCGATGCCCCAGACGGCCTCCTGAAGTCCCTGCAACCTCAGCTGTGCTGTCGCTGCGAGTCGCACGGGTCTGACTTCGTGTGCCGTTGCACTCGGCCGTGAATTTTCACGCAGCAGCTGTGTGCCAGGACACGCAAATAAGTGAAGGTGTTCCAATTCCCTGTTACATCGTTACTGAATATCAGAGCATCCGCTTCTGCATGAAGTGCTGAAGAGGAGGATGCTGAGTCCCACTACAGCATAGGTGTGCTTGCAGGGAGGATTTGTTTGTGATGTTACTTGTGATGTGATTCCTGAAAACGGGAACAGCTGAGTTAAAACTTCAGAAAGAAGCCGGATGGCATTTGGCACCTGTCAGTGTGTTACTTGAGCTGTTCAGTCCTTTGAATGATGGGCAAATTTATTGTCTTTCATCTTTGCTCTCGTGTCAGAAGTGAATATGCTGCACAAAGTACTGCAGAAAAGCAGTGTGAGCAGTACAACTATGTGGTCTGTGCAGTAGCAGGTTTTGGAACTCTGCAGCTGTTCAGGAGCAAGGCAGGTCTACACAAGTATGACACAACATGCTCTGCGGTTCAAAGGTTACACAAGCAGAGGAGAACCAAGTTACAAGAGAAGCTTTTGATCCATTGGTAGCTCAGTGCTAAGGATGAGCTACTGGAGGGTGGTCTGATTGCCATCAAGATGGATAAAATGGAATGTAGCTGTCTAAGGTTATTATTGCAAGCAGTTATTTAGATAGCCATTTTCTGTTCTCATTTTGTTAGCTCTGGATTGATAATGGGTTCCCTATATTCTTGCTTTGTACAGTCTTTGTTGTATACACATACACACATGCATGTTACAGTTTAGATCTTCTATCTAAAGATCTTTCTAAAAAGTGTCAGTGCTACCAGGACCTTGCGAGCTGCTACGCAGGATGTCAGCGCTTAATCTGCTCATCCATCAAAGTGGCCACAGCTTGTTCTCTCAGCTGTTTTGTTTTGTTTTGTTTTCCTGGGTTGAAGGGGGAGGGAAGGGGAGCTGGCCTCCAGCATCTCTATCCCAAAGGTTTACACAAGAGATAAGTAGTCAACAGTGTTTTTAACACCTTACACGCAAATTCCACGCTCCCATTACTTTATGTGCAATGTGAAGTGTGGACAGACGAGATTTCATTACATTCACAGAATCACAGAAATGACAAGGTCGGAAAAGACCTACAAGATCATCCAGTCCAACCATCCGGCTGTCACCAATAGTTCTCACTAAACCATGTGCCTCAACACAAAATCCAAACGTTCCTTGAACAGGATCAGTTCTGGGACCTCACCAGTCAGCAAGGAGTGCTGATAGATAATGGAAAGTGGCTCGGCTGTCACCTCCGCCAGTTCCTTCAGCACTCTCGGGTGAATCCCACCCTACCCCATGGACTTGTGGCAGTCCAGTTGGAGCAGTAGGTCTCTGACTGCATCCTCCTGAATCACAGGGGGTTCATCAGCACCCCAGCCAAGACTACCAGGTCAGAGAGCGGAGTACCCTGAGGATAACTGGTCTGACCTTTAAAGACAGACATAAAGAACACATTCAGAACCTCCGCCTTTTCCTTATCCTCAGTGGTCACATTCCCAGCCTCATTCAGTAAAGAATGGAGATTCTCCTTAGTCCTCCTCTTACTGTTGATGTGTTTGTAAAAGAGTTTCTTGTTCCTTTTTACCCCAGCGGCCAGGTTGAGTTCAAATTGGACTTTTGCCTTTCTCATTTTTTCTCTACACATCTTATTTTATTTTTTTCTCTGTGCAGACATGCATTACCTACTGCCTAATCTGTCATGAAACATGGTAATCACTGTAACACATTATCAGTCAGGCTTACTGCAGTTTGTTTTTGTCAAATAACTATACACACACTTTCAGGGACACACGTTTCAATACTTTAAAAATGTTTAGAGCTAAATCTCCATCTGCAGGATGATACTCTAGCAAAATTTAAATTAAAGAACTATTTAATTGTTTGAGGAAAAAAAAAAAAACTGAGTTATTTGACTTCATTAAAAAAAAAATGTCTAGAACTTACAGAAGTTTTAAAAGTTACTTCTTCATCCTGTTTTTTCCCCCTTTTTCTTTCTGCAATATTTTAATTTCTATGTTACTTTTTAAAACAGATTGTGGTACATAATTGGACACCAGCTTGAGAAACACTGCTTTAACATTAAAGAAGGCACTGAATGTGGTTGCAATTTGTGAATGGCACAGTATTGCTACTGAACATTAACTTTGCTCTCAGCACACTTAGTTCAAGACAATAATTTTGTGCATTTGCTTAATGCTGTTATATTTATCAGTTGCATGCAGCTTTTTAATACCAACATATGGGAGTAATGGCTTTTCTTCTAAAACAATGTTTAAATTTACCAAAACAAAGCAAACACTACGTAACCTGTACTCTGGTAATAGCAAAAATGTTTATTTGAATCTTTTCCAGATGGAAAAGTCATGAAAAATCATTGGGATTTTCCGGAGTTATGGATTGTATCATATGGTGTATGTGACTGATCATGAGAGAGGTGAGTCTTTACTGTATATCCTATTATTACAAACCAACCTTATTTCTTGATGCGTGATATTTTGATACTACCATTCCTAAAATGAAGCATTCGGTACAAACACGGCCATTTAATCATAGAATCATCATTATAGAATGACTGTAGATGCCATTCAGTTGCTACATTTGTTCTTGGTTATAAGAAAAAACATTTCAGATTGGAGTTCTGTGCATTTCTTGCCTGAAGATTTCAGGGACAGAAGTAGGTCACAAAGCAGACTAGCTCAGACTCATTGCATCTGCTGTCCCTGATATCTGAAATTGGATGACAAAGCAAGGAGAACTTAAAGAGATTTTAAACACTAAAAAAAAAATAAGATGTAGTTGGTGGTGATGATAGGAGTCACGTAAGTTTGTAGCAAAATTTCAAGACTGCAAACAGTGTCTTTGCTTAGTACCAGGGACCCTCGTCTCTGAAGCTGTGTAGACTCCTGAAGTTATTCCCTTTGTTGTATGTGCTCTAGAAAGGGAAGTGGCAGGGAGCAGTAACCATTGCATTGCACGCATTCAGAAAATTCCCTCACTGCATATACCGTCAACAGCAAGTCATGTGTGCTTAGTCAGAGGCTGTTTTACTGTTGTTAAGCACAGCTAGGGAAGAAAAATAAAATTAAAAAACCTCAAGGCCCCTATAAAATTAAGTAACAGAAGTTCAAAGTGGTTTTGATAGAGACAGTACATTTCACTTGGGGTAAATCCAAATGGTTTGCACAAAAGGGGCAGAACAAGCACAAGCAAATAGTTTGAGCTAAAACTGCTGTGTTTTACTGAAAATGTGTGGAGATGGCAGCTGATTCAGACATAGCTTACATGTTCAATTTTCTCTGACTACATGTTACCCTGCATAGTTATGCTAGAAATGTCTGTGTGATTGGGACTAGTGGATATCATTCAGAAGGCGTGTTTTCAGCTAAATTGGTGCAACAGATTTGTAGTGATCTGCAGAAAATACAAAATAAAAAGGGGTTCAGAGTGAAATCTCAGTTGGTCCAATTGACACCGAAAGGAAGGAGCCAAGCTAAGAAGATTTTATCTGCAAATCATGTAAGCAAAGATTCAAAAGTATACATAACAAAAAAATGGAAACATGCTTCATGAAACGCCACTTTAAAATACTGCGTATACCATTTACTTGAAATCCAGGGACTACTCTTAAGTTCCTTCCATGTTAGCAAGCCAAAATCTTGTCTTCTACCCTAGCATTTCGAGATGTACTACCCACGCTTATCCTAGAGCGACAACAGCTACAAAACTGTATTTTGTAATCAGCAGAAACACCAGTTTTGTTCATCTCAGTGGTAGAAGCACATGAACAGTTGATATCCTGTATATCATTAAAAAGCATAGCTATGCTCAAGATTTCCTTGTTACAATTCAGCTGCCAAGAGCAGCTGACGTGGCATCAGATATTTGCCTAGAGACAGATCTCCTCAGCTGTACTCTGTTGAGAGCTCCAAGTTTTTTTGATTACATCACCAGAGCCCATCCCTTGATTTACATGGAGTAAATAAGTAAACACAGCAGACACTGCACACAGAATTTCACTGAGGCACGCAGGTGACTTTCTGGCAACACATTGCCAATGGACTCTATCTATTTAGCTGGGAACAGTAGAACCAACAAAATACCAAGAGAAAAACAGTGATTTCTACGCAGCTCTAATTCCCCAATAATTGCAGTCCTCAGTTTTACATCCTCTTACTCAGTGTCCTGCTCTCATCTTGTAGAACAACTGACAGCTACATAAAGTCAGTGTGTAGGATAAAAGACACCATCAACCATCCACATATATATGACACAATAACACAGTATTTGCACTGAGCTCATAGATTTCACTTAAGCTAGGGGGTTTCTGTTAGACTTCTAAATAAAATTAAACACTTGAGTGTCAAATAATCAGAAATGTAGGGACTGGAAGTGACCTCTGGAGAACATCTAGACCAACTCCAAATCTGATATGACTGTTTAACTGCACAATCATAGAAGGAACAGAAAGACACCAACCCCCTTTCATCATGCAATGGAATAAAAATAAATAAAAATCCCCCACATCCCCTTTCCCTCCCAGAAATAAAAATGACATGTTTCTAGACATTAATATTAGGGCTTTCTGTGATTCTGGGCAGCCTGCTTTAGTATTAAATGTGGAGGTTGGTGGCCCTACATGCAGCAGGGGGGTTGGAGATTCATGATCCCTGATGTCCCTTCCAACGCTGGCCATTCTGTGATTTTGTGATTCTGGGCTTAATCTTCTACCTTCCTGCCCTTCTTTACGTCTGCCATCACAGACCTTAGTTAAAGGTCTAAGATTCACAGGCAAACCCAAGTTCTGTTTATTGTATACACAAGCTCCTTTTTCCTTTTTCCCTCACCCTAAGCGATGTTATTTTGTACAGAATTGTTAAGAAATGTAAGCACTCAAAATCCTGTAGTTTCCAAAATCTCTACTGACGTTAAGCTGCCTTTTCTACATTCTGACTATAAACTTCTCTTTCTGCATATAAATTAAGACCAATACGTGTATATTTCTCTGGAACACTTCAAAAACAGGGTACCAACTAATCAGTCTAGAAATCAGAACTCTCCTTCTGAAAGACAGAGTTACAAGTATTAGGAAAAAAACCCCAAACAACAACAATGTAACTCGGCAATAGAGCCTTTTTTTTTTCCTTAAATGCTTCCAGTTGTGTGTCAATCCTAGAGTAAATAGAGGAGTGTAGAATAAGCATATGTATGTAAATTCATGTTTGTCTGTGTGTGCTGGGAATCAGCAAATCTAGGTCCCCTAACAGTCTCCCATCAGGGTTTAGATGCAGTAAGGAGGACTGAAATTAACTAAGCTAAAAGTCATAAATAAATAGGCTTTCTTGTGAACTTCTGGTAAAATAAATACGATGTTATGGAATTACACTGTGTGAGAAATAGATTTTGTGTAGTTTGTTTTGAAATGAAACATGGAAGAGAAGAGAGAGGCCTATTGGTGAGATGTGCATCTCCCTAGGCTTTTATCCACTTTAAAATGTGACTACTACCAAAATAAAACTGCATTGTTTCTTATATGGTTCTGATGGTTATATGGTTCTGATATGCTTTGTCATCATCTTAACAGCAACTTTCTTTTTAAATGAAAATATATTTCTAGTACAGCAGACACCTAAGATTTAGTTACAGCCAAGAAAAGAATTCCACTCTGACAAGGTGCAATCAGGAGGAAATTTTATATAACACCACCAGTAATAAGTTATGCATCGCAAGACTAAATTCAGAATTAGGATACTGTGAAGCAAAATACATCAGAATAATTGAAGAAATAATTAATTACAGAGATAAGAACAGTAATGCATCTCAGGCAGAAGCAAACAACAAAACTGAAGGAAAGATAATTGTGGGCTGAGTTCATCAAAGAGAAACAACATTCATAGGTGGGAAAAATGTATTTGGTATCAGAGGACAACAACTTATTTGCTTGCAGTGAGCCAGCTCAAGCTTTACACATTTAATTCCCACCAAGAAGTAGGGCCCAAGAGATGCTCAGTTTGTATGTATGTCTTGAGCTAATAACTTTGGATGGAAGTGCATTTCACTGAGTGAACAATTTCCCCCTACACCTTCATATCTTAATTGCAATTTCATGGCCACTCAAAAAAAAGAATGCTTTCACCAACAACAAAATTAAATAATTTCCTTAACTCCTGGAAGTGGCAGAAATCTGTAAATACAAGAATCTCCAACTATATGGAAATCTCCTAAGGAACAGATGACTTGCAAAACAAGGCTAGGGAGGCATTACTCAGTCTTAGAACGGACAAACTGCACATCTGGTAAACTGAAAGTTGACAGCAGAAAACGCAGATATTAAATACATACTTGGTATTGATCTGGCATCACAAATTTACTGACACCTACATGACTGTTGTGAACTCTTAAGCTCTTCAGCACCACACCAAATCCCCTTGCACTTCCAATATGTAGCCAAATACAACACACAACCAACTTACATTCAGACTAAAAACTCAACCTTATCTACATCAACATTCTCTAAAACATGTTTACAGATAAAATCTGTTACTCTGCATATAGTAAACTATGAAGCAAGAATGACATTTCTATACGTGATTTAAAATGAAAAAAGTGGGGACATCTCTTTTGGTGATACTTAAAAGTGCAAAGGAGATGGCTGTGGTAGCAGCGAGTGAACACATTTGCGTGATGAGGTTAATAAAGTCCTCAAAGGTCTAGGCATGGGAAGGAAGTCATGCTTCATATAAATGGACACCTCACTTCTGATTCGTCCAAATCACACATCCAGAACAAAGCTGTCAGATAGGTGGATTGGGCTTTGCATGGTGTTACTGCAAGTAGGTGAAATTACGTTTAGGTCCAAGTTTACAAAGAAATGTTAGCAACATTTATGTTTCTGGGTACTATTTAATGGAAAGTGTGAAAAGACATTTGGGAGGCACCTAGCAACAAAAGACTGCAAGAGGATGTTAAAGTTCTCTTCAGCGTTCTTCTAGATCGTCCCTATGGGTAATACTCTCTTCATTAGGGACAGGGTAATGTCTCTCCCCTTTTTGAGCCCCCTCTAGAAAACAGCTAACTACAGTAAATCATTCTATTGGAAGGATTTAATATTGCATTTAATATTGCAAATTTAAAAATTAGAATTTCACATATGGTAGAAAAAAATATTTCGTAGTTTGTGATGAAGAAAAAAAATTATTTTCTACAAACATCATACTTCTGATGTTAACTGTCAGAATTTCCAGGGTAAAGGACTTCCCTGGAACACAGCATGTTAAAAAAGCACTGTTAGGCCACTTAGCCAGAAATTTAATATGAAGAAGAGTACAAAACTTTTATTTGCTTTTGCCATCTCAAGAAGGATTAACAGCTGTTCTTGAGCTTGGGTGTACTGGCTTACAATTGCAAGTGATGGTTTGATACAATCTCCTTCCATCAACTCTAGCTGTTTTCTTCTTTTCTGCTTCCCTAGGCAGATTGTCTGATCTTGCACTGAGCAAATTCAGCATACTTAAGAGGCTTTAACCCAACTCCTTCCAACCAGTTCTGCTAGGTAAGAGCTGATCTGGACTACTGACGGGTCAGATGAGTGCTGTTGCTTACATTAACTGATGCTTATTGAAGAATAGCATAATTGATTACTTGCATTCAGAAGCCAACTCCCGCTTAAACAATATTCCAGTCTTGTCAGGAAATCATGGCAAGGCCATGGGCTTTCAATTTTCGAGCTACCAAATCTGACAGTTTTAAGAATTATCTATGAAGTTTCAAAGGAAAATATTCTGACAGAGAACTGTACGTGAAAAATACATATAGGTAAGTTCCTTTTAAAGTTTGCAATATTTAGTCAGAAAAGCTTCCATAAAAATTACATTAACTGTGTTAATTACAATAACATTAACGGTGGCATACAGCAAGAAACTAGAATAAACATTTTAAACATAAAAAACTGCAGAAAAGACATGTTCCCACTTTTCACATAAAGAACACAAAGCTTTATTAAACTAAATAAAGGACAACTGCAGGTCGGCATTCCAATCACTAAAGTTCCATCAAAATGTATATCCCCAAAAAACAGTAACATGAATCTTGGTTTCCTTAGCTCCTTGCTATCCCTTGTTTTGCCTCAACACTGATGATGTTCGGGTTCATGCTGTGCCATCCTCATTATAATAAAACCAAGGAGCAAGAGAAAACTTCAGCAGCATAAACCAAATCTGGCAACCATTAATCTAGACATTGTTTAACAAAATACAAGACTAAATATACTTAATACAGCCATTTTCCATTTTTCTGATTTTATATTTCCTGGACTCATTTTTATAGTTAAGCGTAAAATCTACCTTTGTATCCTAACCACTAATATGAATCAAACATCATGTATGCCCTTAAACATTCTAGTAAGTCTCTTAATGGATACTAAGCATTTTAGATAAAGAATCAGAGAAATGCTTTGGTAAGGAATTTCAAAAGATCACTAAGCATCTCTCTGCACAAAGGCAATGTGAAATACACTGAAGTCCATCCCCTTATGTTTCCTAACCTTCTTCTTAAAACTTCTGTAATGGAAATTTAACAACTCCCATGGGAAGCATATTTTAGTGTTTCACTACCCTTATACTTGGAAAGTTTATCTCATCGGTCTTTGCTACAAATGTAGGTTAGTTATGAGGATATTAAGAGAAACTTCCCAATTAAAAAGAAGTACCTCCTAGACTATCTAAAGAAGCCACTACAACTTTCAAATACATTCTGGTGTTTGATATGCATACAATTATTTATTTCACCTCATGTTTTCATGTTCTTTAGATTACCTCAGTTACAAAACTGAAACTAGAATTTATCTATAAAGTTTACCTTTAAATTCTTAGATAAAGGAGATGCAAAGCTGGTATTAACTGACTATCCTGGGTAAAATGGTATACCTTCAGAATATTCTATTCTACGTTATCAGTTACAAAACATCACAAAAAAAAAAGTATAACATACTTTGTAATAAAGATGGTCTTCTATTTTAAACGTAAGGATGGAGTATTCTACTCCAACAGAAAGTCCTGACTTCAAAACAAATCAGTCTGTCTCTATTTCATCTTGAAAAGTACAGTGATGTTCATATTAAAAGTTTTGTGAAGATACCACGTGCAAAATATTACGAATGCTAACATGCTGTTTGTTAAGAGCTACACCAGGTGGTGTGGAAATGTAGTATGTCTTGAAAAATTTGACAAGAGGCAAAGAATGAAACAAAATAAAATACCACTTGTTCAAAAAATCTGCATTTTTGGTATTGGCTTTGAACTTACTGCTGACAGTATCTCAATTCTGTTCATAAACACTACAAGTCTTATTAGGAATTCAAGATAAAGTTGATTAATCTTAATAGCAGATGAAGCACAAAAGCCACAGATGTGAAACACTGTAACAATGTTAAGCCTACCATAATGTTAAATTACTCTATTTCAGCGCTACTTAAAATTAGGGAATCTTGAATCCTGAATACCAACTATTTAGAATGCTAACTTAAGAACAGTCGAGCTGACACAGAACAAAACTGAAGCAATTTTGTGGTTTCTTCAATCATGCACAAATGGTTAATGTTCTATTATCTCATGTTTCTACTTTAAATGAAATCTTATTTAAATTCAATCTATTTATATATTTAAAGCACTAATCTACCTTTTCAGCATTATCCTAACACAAACCATATTTGCATCAAAAAGGCTTGAGGCAGCAAAGGTCCTGGTTTGCATACAAAATCATTTTTCCACTACAACAAACGTTCTGTGATGAAATTCTTGTGGTATTTTTCCCTTTATAATTTTTTAAAAAAATAAAATTGCATGAAGATTTCAAATAGAATTAAAATTTCATCTCACAGTAGTCACTATTTCACATTCTACATTATATCCCCAATTAAAAACAAAAAAAGTTTCAATTTATAAATATCATTTTTATACATGTAATATTGTTTCGGTTTGCAGTGATGAAAGCAATTATCCCACTTGACTGCTTGCAATACCCTGCCTTTAGCCTTGTTATGCACCTGAGATGGGTGAAACTGTCTCCATTACAATTATATTACAGAAGACCTGAGGCCTGATCCTGCAACTGTTACAAACATCCTACAACAGCCATTTCAGTCACTAAGAATGAATATTGAGGGTGCAAGATTCTCCTGCATCAGGCTGTAAGTGTAAGTGCATTATACATATTAAAAGGTGACATCTCAAAGTAAAATACTGTATTTTTATGTAATGCAAAAGTAACACACACGATTTACATATAGTAATAATTTATTCTGAAATGTTCATTTTAGTCTCTGTTGAGACATCACCCATGTCTCATTAATAAAGAGCAGCCATCTCACCTCAAATACCAGAATATACAGCAAGTTACAGCATAGCAAAAATGAAGAAAAAAAAAAAAATCTACCTACTTGGAGATGAAATCTAGTTCAGGTAAAATAATTTCAGTCAAGGTTTTACAGTTACACAGTTTTTCTTTTTTTTCCTATATGTTTTTTTCTTTTCCCCAGGGCATAAAGAAAGTGTAAATCGTTACACCATACCTATCTATGCACATTATGTGACCACAAATGTTATCGTTACTTCAGAAAATAACCGTCAGTTCCATTCATGCAGAAAAGCAGGCTGGGAATGCTTGTTCAGCAGAAACAATATTACTGTGAATTTCACAGCCACATGATTAATTACTGGGTTAGATGGACTCACAAATACTAAAACTGAGTATATTTTTTTGCATAAATAATACCAGTTCTTCCCTGATGTAGTTTAGTCAGTCTGTAGTCTAGAAATGATTGATAAAGCAGTATGACTCCATCATCTCTATATGCAATGTTCAATGATTTCAAGACAAGCAATATTTAAAGGATTATGGGATGGGATGCTAATTAAATACATGTTAAACATACTGTACAAATATACTTGCATTAGCAATTTTATTTCAAACTGTCAATCACATTTTCCTCCAAAATATTACCAGTGAAGACAAAGTATACTATCAAATATGGCTTCCAGAACAAGGACTCTCTAACAAGAATCAAACCTATTTACAAAAACAAACAAACGAACAAACAAAAAAATCAATCCCCATCATTTGAAGTTTCATTTGAAATAAAACTTCTAAGTAGCTGCTGTGTTTAATACATCAGTTTTATTTTTTGATGTATTTAAACAGAAGTCACCAGGTAAGAGCCAGAATGACGTTTGGGACTCTGAGTTCCACTGGAGTCTGTATTTTCAGACTTTGAGTCACGTTTCTTTGTGCTGTTATTTACTGGTGTTGGTATCTGGGATGGCCGAGCAGAACTATTGTCCACACTACTCTTCCTACGGCTTGGATTGTAATTGAAAGGAGTTACTCTTGCTGCAACAGCACCAATCGGAGAGCTATGTTTGCTTGAACTACTGGAACTGAATGGTGCACGCTCGCTCACAGTACTTTCGTTGTTTTCTGGTGCAGGAACAGGATTGGTCTGCAGAGGTTTTGTTTCATTGCCTTTCTTGTCTGGACTGTCCATCTGAAAGAAAGAGTTCAGACGATTTTCTAAACCAATGGTACGAACAGGAACACTTCCATTCCCTGGATTTTGTTTTTCTTGAATCTCTTTAGAATCTTTGCCATTCACAACCCCATTCTCTGAAACACTGTCAATAACAGGAGGAGTATTTCCAGTTGGGGACCTTCCAGATCGAGGATTGTTAATTGGGCAGTCCTCAATCCTCACCCAAACATCCTCAGTCTTAGAGACAGCTGGTGCCATCTGATAAATTAGAGTTTTGGAATCAGAGCTACTTGCGGCACTCGAGGAAGGATGCTGAGGATCATTCATTATTTGGGGGATTTCATTTTCTTTTATTTTTCTCCAAGTACCTTTTGCTGGTGCTTGGCTTTCTTTACTTTGCTTCTGCCCAGAAAGAGAACTTCCATGTTGCTTTTCATCTTCACTTTTTGCCTTTTCACTGGATTCTGAAGAAGCTGACAGAATTGAGGAAGAACTTCCAGTTCTTCTCCAAGTGCTTACACGAGGAAGTGATGAGGAATGCTTACTATGTTCACGTTTCCATGTTCCTGATCTGTTGATTGGCAATCTAGATGGACTCTCAGAATGAGAACGCGTTATATCATGACGTTTTGCTGGTCTCCCATCATATTCTACAGAAGGGCTCAGATTAGGGGGTAATTTTCGCCAGCCACTAGTTTGGGCAGTTGAATGAGTGGATAAAGACATATCAGGAAGTGAGGGACTTAAAACTGGAGTCTGTAGTTGGGATCTTGTGGGAGAATCTGGTCTGGAAGGAGACAGAGATTCAAATGAAGCAGACTCTTCCAATTTACGTCTTAGAGTTGGGCTCGGAGCTTCTTTAATAAAAGTCGACTGGCGAACAAGAACAGGCCTCTCAGACCTGTCAGACTCACTTCCGCTAGATTTTGCTGATGACATTCTGGATAAGTCAGTCTTTTTGTTTGATGCACCACTACCAAGAATTTGATTCAATCCTTTGGAAGCAGACTCACTTCTTGGAATGCTACTGGTATTCTTAGTTAAGGCAGTTTGCTTTGTAAGGTTTTGCTGGCTCATCTGCCTGCCTGGTGATGTATATGACATCCTACCTGAACTTGAAGACTTAGTTGAAGCAGTGCTAGGAGATGATGTTCTTGGCAACTGAGACAGTTTGTTGGGAGGACTTATACCATTTCTTCCTGGGGAAATTGAGTTTCGGCCTGGAGATTGCAGAGGCCTGCTCAATGGCTGCTGTTGAGGTCTAGAAGGAGTGGAATCTCTAGATCCTGATCTAGAAGGTCCTTTACTTGATCCACTCTGGTTCAATCCTGACAGTTGCCTAGTTACAGGAGCTGGCTCAGGTTTTACTGATGACTTGACTCCTCTTGGGGAACTAGCTGAACTCTGGCCTTCACTGGGACTCTTGGAATTTGTGTTTTTGAATGGGGGGCCTTTTTTGGAAACAGGACTAGTACTTGAAGAACTATTTCGAACTCCCGGAATATGAATCATTGTCCTGCCACGTGAAATTGAAGGCACACTTGTTTGTTGTGGTTGCTTTAACTGACTTGAAACTTCTGAATTGGAGCGAGTTTTTCCTGTAATTATACTTTTATATACTCTTTTCCCTCCTTTGATTCCCTTACTTTCGGATTCTACTTTTTTAGATTCCAGTGTACTTTTCTCTCCTGGCTTAAGAATTCGTGGACCTTTATTACTAGTAAAAGGTTTCTCTTCTTGGTCTGGGGTAAGATGGAATGGTGATCCCAGAGAAATACCAGATTTTAGTGAAAGGATAGAATCAGAGTCTGATGAAGCTTGTCTAGATAGCGATGCAGCAGCTGCAGCTTGATGCAGGCTACTAACTATAGAATTTGCACCTTCCTGTATAGCTTTCCAATCAAAGTTCTCTGAATCGGGTGAAAAACCATTTTCTGAATCTGGCCTCTGTATCTCTCTCAAATCCAGTGTTAAATCTTCTGCCAGCATACCACCTATATTTCTGGAATTACTTTTTTCACTTTCACTCTTTATTCTTGATGGTTTTTTCTTTTTAGGCATGGCAGAACTAATGCATTCCTGCAAAAGATCATCTTCTGAGTCAATACTTAGAGAACTCAGAGAGCTATTTCTAGAGAAACATACTGGTGTGTCTTCAACATGAAATGATTTAGGTGCATAACCAGAAGTCTGTGGTCTGTTTGATTCTATCTGTGAATCAGGAGCCTCAGTTCGCTTTACTGGTTCTTCTTCTTTGCTGTTATTGTTTTCTTGATCAATATCACTAAGGGAACTAAGAGATGAATTGCGAGAAAAACAAACAGGTGTGTTTTCGATAGCAAAATTCTGCATCTTCTCATCCGTAGCTGCCCCTCTGTCTGGAATATCTTTATTTGGCTGACAGAAAGTTTTAGACTGGCTTCTGCTTGTTGGGTGTTTTTGGCAAACTTGTGTCCTATTACTTGGTTGCTGACTTGAAGGCTGTTCCACGTTAGGGCAGTCTTTAGTTTCTATTTCCTTTGCTTCTTTTCCTTTTCTTAATTCTGCCTTTTCCCTTGAAAGGTCAACATCATCATCATCAAAATCCAAAGAACTTAAGGAATCATTGCGTGAAAAACAATACGGAGTTCCCTCAATAGGTGTGTAATGATGAGGGGAATCAAATGTAAAGCTTCCTCTTACACGCTCCTCATTATTTGAAAGTTTGTCATTAAAATCTCTAGAATTATTTTTAAGATTCTGTTTCTTTGTATCTCTGTTCTCTGGATAGCTTCTTTCATTATTAATTTGGCTTTTAGACTCTGTGTTTTTTCTTACACGTGCTCTATATTCACTATTTTGGGGAACAGGCTTTACTGGTGATGTTGGCTTCTTTTTCTCAATTTCTGATTGATTTTTATTATTTAAAGATGTAGATGCTTGTTGGATTTGATCCATTATTTTCTTCACTCTAAAAGGTTTGTGACTTTTACCTTTCGGCATAGCTGAGTTAATGCACTCAGCCAGAATATCACCCTCTTCTGTTTTGTCATCATCCAGTCCTGGGCCACTTACACTTATGCTTTTTACTTTCTGAGCATCATCTGTACTTCTACCTTCTGTAGGAATAGTATCCCTCTTCTCAAATTCCCCTGACTCTGCCCCTGTACCCACACTGTCTACATTGGCCAACTCATTTGGTGGTGATTCTATTGTGAGATCACTCAAAGATGTAGCTGTTGAAAAATTTATTGGTGTACCCTCAACACAATATACTCGTGGCATATCATCTCCTGGTGTAAAACTCACATGCTTTTGGGATTGCAATCGGCTTTGGGAAGGCAGAAGTTTATAAACTGGCAGCTGGCTTGGCTTTCTGGCTACAGGAGGAGGTATTTTTGGAGCAGATGCTTGAGAAGGCTTTTTGGCTTTACGTGAAGACTTTGTAGGCATTGCAGAAATAATACATTCTTCCAGTATTTCAATATCATCGTCATCAGAATCATCCAGAATGTCTTTTTCTGCTTCAGAAGGCTTCTCTGCTTTATCCTCTTGGTTATCCTTTGTATCATCTGACTGTTCAGGCTCTGCTTCATTTCCATGTTCATTTTCATGTACAGGAGGCATTATTCTTAACTCTACATCTTTCTGTATAAATGGCTCATCAAGACTCAGAGCACTCAGGCTAGAAGAGCAAGAAAACCCATCTGGTGTACTTTCTGTGGCAAAATGTAATAGCGTATCAGCCTCTGGCAGTACCTGAACTCTCTGAACTGCTGCATTTACAGCTGCTTGTCTAGGACCAGGCTCTCTCTTTTCTGCACTAGGTACTTTACCTTTAGCTACATCTCTTTTCACCTGAACTCCTTGAGCAGGGGGTGGTGTTTTACTTCTGCTTGGAGGCATTGTTTGTCCTGGGCTGTCTGGAAGATCACTTGGACTTATAATACCACTCACCATTCCACTGCAAGGCTCACTCTGAACCGAACTAGCAATTGAACGGCTTTCAAAACTATCCAGGGAACTTACAGAAGTACATCTACTGAACATGAGAGGAGTTTCCTGTACATAATGTTCTGGTGGGCTTTTAGGAGTCTGTGCACCACTCTTTGAGGGAGATTTGGCACCTGAAGAAAATTCAACAGCTTTATGTCTGGAGGAATCAGAAGGTGATAAACTGGAAGTTGGAAGTCTACTGGATTTAGTTCTGATATGTTGTGATGTTGATGTGATTTCACTTACTGCAGCTTCTGTAGATAGAGCCCCACTGTTTTCTTTCAGTTCTGCTATCTGTAGTGTATTATTAGTATCAGTCACACGTGTGGATTGATCACGCCCTATTTCATCTTCAGCTGATGACAAAGATGACAAAGAGCTACACCTTGAAAAACATATTGGTGTATCTTCCACACAGTAAGTTTGTATAGTTTCCTGATTAATGGAAGGAGTCTTACAGGAGGCGGTCTTTTGAGCATGACTGCCTCTGCTCTGTGCAGAACTTGGATGAAGCTGATTCTGCCTCTTTGAACCTGCTGAAGGGGCTGATGTACTTCCACTGCTTGAGGAAATATGGTCAGTTTTAGTGCTCTGCACCGAAGAAGTCTTTGAAAAAGTAAAAGATGGCTTCTGAGAAGAGGGAGGAACTTCTGTTGAATACTTCAGACTATAATCAATGGGTTGATCAACATGATGTTCTTCTTCATTGTACTTTATGCTGTAATTGGTTGGTCTGTCTTCTTCTTCATGCTGTTCCTCCTCAGAATAGCGTTCACTGTAGTTGGTTGGCTTATCATCATCATAATCATCGACTTGGCACAAGGACTGATTTACTTTCTGATTGATTGCAAGAGTTGACCCTACTCTGTTCTGATCTGAACCATTGGATCCTCTTGATCTAAATGAAGGAACACAGTCTTGTTGTCCAAAAGGTGATTGATATTTCATGTGTTTATCATCTCCACTTTCAGTGTACACAGGGTATGTTGTACTTTGGCTCCTTGACTGCCTTTGGTCATTTTGTTTCATTTCATCATCTATTATATGCTTAGGCCTTGCCCATCTTTCATTCTGAGAAGGACTCTGCCTTCCAGAATTTAACTGTTCATCTGAATATTTAAGACTATAGTTAATAGGAGTGTCTAGTTCTCCATCATTGTCATCCATGTGATTTGCACTATGTATCTTATGTGCCAAGTCAGCTGGATATTGCCCATAACTACAAAATTTACTTTCATCATCCTCAGAGTAAGATTCAATGGAAGGTTTCATTTGGCCTCTTTTACCATAGCCATCACTGCTGCTGACACTATTTAAGCTGTCATTTGATGCTCTCTTGTATTCCATTTTTGTGTAAGGCACAGGACATGGCCTGCTTGAATTCTCAGATTTTGGAAAGTATGTATTCGAGTGTGTATGGGCACTGGCTGCTCTCCTTGTGGTATTTCTGTCTTCTGTCAAACAGTGCATTTCAGAAGTGGAACTGGAACTTCTGTCGTCTTGTGGAATATGCATGCTTGTCACTTCTTCCATAACCTTGGCAATTTGAGCTGCAGCTGTAGAAATTTGCATTCCTATTCTCTTAGAGGAGTTTCCACTGTTCTCTGTAGCTGGATGATAGGCATTTAAACCTACTGCTCGATCTCTATCAAGACTTCTGTCTTTCTCAGACAGACAATTTTCTATGTTTCCTCTACTAGAAGAAGAGGATCCAGGCAATACTGTAGAATTTAAATATGGAGAAAGTACAGTCATGTTACCAGTACTAAAACTCTCTGTTCTGCATACCCCATCATCATGACGATTAGAGTCCAAAACATACTCACTGTATATATTCTGCTTATGTCTCTGCTTATTACGGTGAGATGCTTTTGGGCTTAAATTATCAATATTGTCAAAAGTCTCTGATAAATGTTGTGCATCTAATTCTGCTTCCAGTGCCTTTTGTTTTCTAACATGAAGAGATGGTAAGCTTGATCCTGGAGACATAATGTTAGCATCCTTATACTTTGCTGGCCTGTTTGCCATGAGATTTCTTAGAGCTGCAGCACTGCCCATTGCTATCATTTTGTGTTTTGAGTGAATGAGATTTTTGAGCATGCTGACCGCTCCCATGTCCCAAAGTGCCTCCTGATCCTTTGCATTTCGTGCAGAAAGATTCCACAGGGTTCCACATGCGTTACTGACTATTGTCAAACTGTGTGACTTCAAGTGTTGTAACAAGGTTTGTAAGCAACTGTTCTCTCGCAAGATTTGCCTGATAATAAGTAATCGAAAACAAAAATCATTAAGTGACATTTGCAACAGATCAGAGACAAACAAACTAAAAACTTACTACACTGCAAGCAATTTAATCCTTTAAAAGGATAGTTACAATTATCCAGTGCAAATTTATCTTATTTCTTCTCTACTCCTATGGAATCTATCTAAATGCTAATCAAATGCTACTATAAACACAAATTGTTACTCCCACCCTACCCTCTCGAAAATATTTCTCCTTCCAGATTGCTTCCTATGGCTGATAATGACTTTATGAATCTTTTATTCCCATGAAAAGACTCTACTACTATTCATCATCTATAAGCAGCAGATATTTATCTGTTTGCTTATTTCTGTTACCTAAGTGGAATGCCTGCTAATTCATTACAAATTATTGTATTTTATATTACTCTACCTGCATTCACATTAAGACTCAGCGTACAAACTGTGTTTTAAACATGCTTTTAGTATCACTACATTTTTTCAGAAGTAGCATACCCACCTGTGGTCCTCATTAGTAGCAATTAAGCTAGAAACATTTCTTAGTATTCCTCCTCCACTTTCTATGATGGCAAGTGTGTTTGTTTGGCTCCGGTATGTCAGTGTACCAACTAGAAATGCAAGAGCACCATCAACAGCACATATATCGGCTTTGTTCTCAGTACAGTGTGCTGACAGATTCCATAAGGCACTCAAGACACTTTTTAGGGTTGATTCCTAGGAAAATAACAAAGTGACAGGATTAGAAGTTTTTCAAGAATTGATCAAAAGACCTCAGAAATACTGACATTAGCTACAAGGAGTTTGTCACAAATCTCTTTCTAATTCCCAATGATCCAAAGATGGACCAAGAATAAACCTGCATGAATATAGCCTATAGACTAGGAAAAAAAAAAAAAAAAAAAAAAGCCTCATTAATTCTAACATACATTTGCAAAGAAATAAAATTCATTAACCATAGAATTTGTTTTAGAATTTGTTTTTCCGGTCACCAGCACAATTTATTTTTGTTTGATTTTTGTTTGGATGAAATCTCACTTGTATGCTAATGCCTGATATTTTCTTTCTATTTTCCTATATCTGCCTCTTTTTATTTCTCTGGCTTTTCCTCACAGTACGAGTTACTTATGTTCCAATTTCTGTTTTCTGGGCTGATTAACTTATCAACCAAGGCGTACAGCCGTGCAGGCAAACTTTTGTTTGCTTCCCTCCTTCCCTCAGCAATGGATTTATTGCTTGCCAGAAATTTTTTGAAGTATCAGCCACAGTACTTGCTAGCTGCCATAATGGTAAACTGGTTTGAAGATTAGCTAGCAGAGGACTCTGGGATAGAATATAATCTTGTCTGGATACCAAGAGTACATCTAGAAAATGACAGACTTGGAAGTTATCTACTCACTAAAGTCAAAAGAGGTTTTATTAAATTGTAAAATTATAAGAAACAATGTAGCTGAAGATCAAAAACTGTCAACCATCAAAAAATAAAATTACAGAAATACCATTAGTTTTGAGGTAATAGCATTATTTTATGATCTGATGTTTCATTAACTCAAAGCAATTCTATTTACCAATTCTAACAGAACTTTAGGTAACTTAAACTCTGAAGTTACTTGAAACATTCTAAACATTTGACATACTGCTTATGTCAAAAAAGACCACAATATATTTATTTTGTGTAAATTAAATGTAATGCCTCAAAAATTTATCTCACAGGCATTTATACACAGTACCTTCTTAACTTCTAAAGCACATTCCATCAGTGCTTTCACACTCCCAACTTCTCGTAGTGTCTTTTTACTGTTCACATCTGCACGCCAGGACAAGTTCCTCAACACACTTGCAATGACCTGCAAAATATGAAAAAAAAATGTTTTACTACGTATGCTTACATACCTATATTTCATATACATATAAAAGCACATTTAATGGTCTCAAGTTCTGCTGCAGGGGATTTAGACTGGACATTGGGAAGAATTCTTTCACAGGCAGGGTAGTCAAGCATTGGAATGGACTACGCAGGGAAGTGGTGGAGTCCCTGTCCTGACAGGTACCTAAGAGATGTGTGAAAGTGGCACTAAGGGATGTGGTTTAGTGATGATTATATAGTGTTACTTTGATTCTAAGATAATAGAATAGATAATATTGTTTACAATATTATATTAATTTCATATTTAATAATTTAAAACAAGCTTCATACGAACATACAGTTCTGTGTTCTCAAGTCTGTGTATCATGCTAGGCACTTACTACAGACTTTATTTCAGGATATTTTTCTCTACAAAGCAGGAGCCATTGGAAGAGACACTCAGGTGTCACACCACTATGCTGAAACTCAGAAAGTTTCTCTAGGCGCTGCTGTGGAGAACAGGTATGTATGTACTAAGAGAACATCCTTGTGAAGTCAAACGTACATTCTCTTTTGAAGTAAAGCTTCTTTTACTATTATTCTGCTATTATTTACTTTCTACTATTGCAGAAGGAATCTCAATATTGCACAAACCCTCAGTCCATTAGCACTGTCACTAGCAAACTAGAGAATCCAGGATTGTTTAAACTTGTCTTGAGATATGGACTTCCATCAACAGATCAGGGTCATAAAAGTTTTACAGCCCATGCGTTGGACATACTTTGATGAAAAAACAGTATGGCCAACAGGTGGGCATTTTACTACAAGAACTGTACTTCATAATTTGTAGAATGAATACAGGTGCTAAGTTTGTTATGCAGATAAGACAATGCAAGAGCTTTGCATTCAATTAATGATGAAAAATCGGGCTACAATGAATGTAGCATATTTCAAAGAGACAATCTAAGTGAGGAGAAAAAAAAAAGGCTGTCTGTGAACAGCACCCTTGTAACTTCATGACAAAGACAGAATTCAAGTACAAAAAGAAGTGACAGCAAGGCCAAATAGATAGAAGGAAAGTAAATACTAAGGAAGGAGATCAGAACTACTGTCTTTCAAATTACTGTAGTGAAATGGAAGTGCTGCAAATTAGTGGAAATAGACAAGAAGTATTTCGTCTCACTGTTACCTGCTGTAAGTCTTCACTTTCAGACTTCAGTTGGGCTACAAGAGCTCTCATGCAGCCCTTCATTGAACATAAAGTAGCCTGATAGGAATCAGAAAGAAATAGAAAAGATATAGTTTTATGACAACATTAGATGGCTTACTGGTGCATAATACTTTGATATTTTAAGCTGATCATCTCTGAAGTTCAAAAAAGCTTAGTAATATTTGTTTGCAATAACAAGTATTTGGTCCACCACTACTGAAAACTAATTCAGTTTCTATTCTTGAAAATCCAAAGTGGTAGAATTGTGATAAATTTTATAATTTTTACAACAGGCCTAGGACCAGATCTGGAACATTACCAGTTAAGAAGCTTTCTTTACTATGCCTTGGATAATATAATGGACAGTCACAACATTTATGATATCTAAAGAACAGCTTTTAAAGCATATATAAATTAGTGAAAAACCGTAAGGCTTACATTAGAAATTTGCCTGTGACAAAGTACAATAAAAAATTCTTTACAAATGAATGATGTGTTAGAACTGTACTACTTGTCAGCTGGGCAGAAAATGTGAGGGCTACTCCAGAAGCAATGGCTTCTTTTTTATTATATTGGCTCAGACATTAGAGGCAGAAGTCAGTGGTATGGCAGTAGAGGTTGAACATTCCCTCCAATATTCTGTTACACGTTCCTGACGTCTGACAGATGGCAGCAGAGGAACAGTCTGACAAAATGGGGTCTGATATGGCATTGCCTATGAAGCAAAACTGCAGTTGTTTTTGTTTGAAATTTCTCCCTGGAGCCTAAATCCAATATCCTATCACAAAGATTTCTTTACCTGTCTGAGAGCTGCAATTCAAACACAGCTATCAACTGAAATTACTGTAAGTTTATTCTTACCTTGTTTGCTACATCTCCAAAAGTCAGGTTTGTCAGAGCCATTCCAGCATACCTCCTCAATGTGACACTATAATGATCATTTGTAAGCCCATACATTTCACAGTCCACTTGCAGCAGTTCAGCAATGGCTTGCAGACCTCCTTAGAAGCCAAGTAAACAAACAAAAAAAAGCCAACAAATTTAAATCCTGATATTCGTATGAATGCCGTAACATCTTAAACATCTGAAAAATGGAAGGCTCTAAAAATAAAATAAACTTCTAAACAGATGACTCTGGATCTCAAATTCCATGGTTTGTACAAGCTGAAAGTTTTGTTAACAAGATATTGAGATCTGGAGGAGGGAGAAACTGGGAACAGAAGTGTTTATGAAGAAGAAAAATACTTATCTTTTAATTTCAGCTAAAGTTGCAACTGATGATATCACACCAGTAACACAAAAGGTTATATAGTAAATCTGACAATTATCAATTAATCATTATCACTTAATGTTATTTTGTAAGGAAAAAGTACACAGAATATTTTCACATAGACATTGCAAAGGAAACCTCCATGCACAGAACTGACTGAGCATGGATAAAAAAATACAGGCTGCTGAACAGGAATCTACTTATAATACAGATACTTCAGAAAGTGGCTTCCACTGTAAAGACAGTGCTTCTAAAAGTCACAAGAACTTCCGCGATAATAATATTCTTCCAATATTCAGAGTTAATGTCAAATAAAAGAGTAACTTGAAAGATAACCTGTACACTGGGTGATGGACTAGTTAATGTAATCTGCATTAATCACTTTGAGGTCACAAATGAACCTATGACTTGCTTGAACCAATGGTAGAACAAAGTTACATATTCTCTGAAGTAATCCTTACAAGCAATGAATGTCAGCATTTCTAGCAAGCTTTTCAATGAAGTCAGATAAAAACATTTGGTCTTACCAAGCTCATTCATAGCATGCCTATGTTCTTCATCAAATGAAAGTTTCATTAAAACACACACTGCAGGACAGATTTGATGATCAACTGGTGCAGGCACTGATCCAGAAATAAGTAGCAGTTAGTATTTTCTAAGTGTATAATTTGTCCAAATCATAAGATTTTCAAAAAGAATCAAAACTTAAAGAGAAATCAACTGCGATTTTGTTTGGATTTTGTTTCTTCCTTTTAACTCACAAATAGACAAATACTTATCAATATTGCTAATAAATGTGTATACATAAGATGCCTGAATATATCTATATACGACCAAGAAGACATACATGTACTAGAAATATAGTTGGTGTAGAAAAAAGAAGTTAGAGAGAATCAATGTATGCGTTACAGAATAACTTCTGGTAAACTTCTGGTAAAACAAACAAACGAACAAACAAACAGACAGACAGACAGACAGACAAAACACCAAAAAATAACTGTAACAACAACAAAAACCTTGTTAGTTTTGAAAAACAAAAAACTTACTGAAAATAAATCAGTAAGGTTAACTCTTCCAGCAGTATTAAATAAATAATCCAAAATGAATGTTTCTTCGGTTGTTAAGTCCTGAGAGAACTGCGACTACTGTGGTATTTTAATACTGAAATAGTTTCATGTACAGCATTAGAAATAATAATTCACATAATATTGCCTAGATTGAGACTTTTTCAAACTCTTCTAAATGAAATGTGTATCTCCTGAATACATCTGAATGAAGAACAATTTGGGATTATTTATTTATTTAGATAGACTGCATTATGCACTGACATGTAAAATAGCACTAAGTAGAAATTTACTGTTAATTCACAGATCATCAACGTAAAACACTGGGGTTATTACTCAGAATGCATCTGAAAGTCTTATAACTTAAAGAACAAGTTTATAAATGGAGTTTCATACCCGTAATAGATGATACTTCCTAATGCTACCTCAACATAAAAAGCCTATCTATACATGCAGTCACACATACTATACATGCTGATAGCCAAATGTTTCACAAACCTCATGTACATTTACCAAGAAGCTAAAGTCAGCTGTATTCTTTATAAACTCGCTGTTTATCAAAATTTATAAAGCTGAAAGAACGTACTTGGGTTTTTATCTTGGTCCATGCCTTGTTCGTGTGCTTCCTGCCATTCCCAACATGTTTCACAGTAAGCACGGATCTGCTCCAAAAGATGGAGCACACGGATTTCCCGTCTGCCTCGCTTATCATCAGGCTGGGAGTGAATGATGTTATGCAGCGCTGCACTGGCTCTGGCACGGGCCTCCTTACTACCACGAGAGTTCCCTAACAAGACAGAGTCTTTATCGTTGCCATGTAAAAGCTGGATGAGAAGAGGAAGACATCCAGACTGACGCATAGCTATGCAGCTGTCTTGAGAGCTAGACATTGCTAGCAATGTTCTTGACATGTCATCTTTATCATGAGTACCAAGCATTGATAACAATGAGTACACCATTTCCACCTGTAGGTCAAATGATTTCAAAAAACAGAGTTATATTTTAAAACTACATTGTAAAATAAGGTTAACTGAAATCTGAATGGTACACATGAGGAAAACAACCCGCAACAAACGATTTAATGGTGTGAGAGCCTGTGCTATTTAGAAATAATTAAGTACTATTACTACTTCACCATCTATTACCCTAACAAATCTCACTTAGTGGTTAAATAGCTAGAACAAGTTGGCGGTAACTGTAGGCAGCTGTTATTAGTCTGCAAGAATAATGGTGAAGACTTCTAACTTTCCATTGCGCAAAACGATTAAATAAACAATCATGAAAATATATTACTTTGAAAATGTAAAATGTATTTAAAATTAACTCTATCTTAAAAAAGTAAATTTTGTATGAATTGCACTTTCACGTAGAAATGCTCTTCAGTGAAAAATTATTTCTTATGTTGGCATTAAAAAAAGTATCAAGACAGGGTAAGAGTGATTACATGAATTTCTGCTTTACAATGAAGTAAAATACCTTGCATCTATATATCCTCAAGTTTTCACTTAAAACTGTTTCAAATTAACCAACTATTTTTTGTTGCGAGTGACTTGCATATGGACCAGGTTACTTACAGAAAAGCAAAACTGGAGAATTAAGTTAAAACTTTCTTCAAGTTTACCAAAGTAAAATCAGAGAAGGAAACAAACGCTCATTTACTACATACTATCTGTGTACAAAGCAGTTGTACAATTAAATAAAGCCGTACAAACCAAACAGTACACATTTAACTCAAAACAACAAACTTTCACATTAAAAAACATGATTGATTCTTCAGGGATTCCTCTGTTGATCTGTGGTCAATGTATGGTTTGATTTGTCTTTCCCATTCTGTTTTCCTCATTAGTAAATTTACATTGAGAACTGCATTTGGTTCCTTCAGTGAGCTTTTAGTAGAATAACATAGTGTAGAAGATGGTAGAGATAATAACTCTAGAACTCCTGAACTCTATCTGAACTCCTACAGCCAAGAAAAACAGCAAAATTCAAAATCACAGCACAACATAAAGAAACTATCAAAGGGAATTGTGGGCATTTCTTTAGAATGTATTAACAAAGAAATTACACTAAACCAAGTTTTCTATAAAAAGTCAGATTTTTGTACTAGTAGACGAATGAATGATTTTGTTTCTTCCCAAAAGATTCTAACGTATCTGGGATAAGTATAAATACGCAGTTATACAAAAATTGTATGGCAGTGAATAGATTAAGCAGCAAATCTGCTAACGTGTGTCTCCTAAAATGTCATAGGACTGCTGGAACAATGGAAGTCTTGATGTCTGTGGAAGTGTATTGATCCCATGCAAAATCCACTGAGTCTTGGAGCCTATCTTCTAACAACCCAGTGTCCTGATTTGGAAATCCTTGGTCTGGAAAAGCTCATATGCAGTATTAAAACAAACTGCTTGAATAGAAGACAGTGAATTTAATATGCTTTATGTATGCCTTTTGACAGGTATTTCAAGTGGCAGCTTTAATCCGCAGTAATTTAGATCTGAAAGATAATTCTTCTGTCAGAGAATAAAGCTGAAGAAGCCACCAAAATCTGACCTCTGAGTTGTGGCAAAGGCAGTTTATGGGAAAAATCATGAAATGTTTTTCTCTCTCTCCTTCCCTTTATACACACACTGCACATAAAGACATCTCTTTCTGCATCTGAAAATACACTGCTCCTATTTAGAATCTGTACCACATGTTCATGTGTATCAGCACTAAGCTTTTCTTATCTTACAGTACACTAAGTTCAACCTATTTCTTTGCATGTATTTTTTTTTACATCTTCCATGCATTCATCCATCTGTCTACAGCTTCAGTAAATTCTAACATTTGCAGTGAAAACCTGTTAATAGACTAACCAAAATCACATCCATTTGTGGCATGCATAAAGTGCAAGACAGAAGTTCCAACATTATAGCAACATATTAAAGGCCCAAAGTAATCAATACGATGTCAAGACAAATGGCTCATGGAAGACAGGGCTCAGTACCCTGCCCATACTACTGCTGAGTCCAGAGGCAATACAAGCTCCAGTGTTTCATGAACTGGTGTGCTACAAATCTGTGATTTTTTCCATCTCTTTTTCATGCTGCACATATACTTTTGAACACATTTTGTTACAAATAGACACCACTGTGAATATTTTAAATAACTTCTTAAAATTTCTGGTCTGTTTAATTCCTTAACAATTGCTGTTTTGTGAATTTGGTCCCTGAAAAGTATTTCAAGAACTGATTTTAAAAGTTTCCATTGTGGAATACAAATCAACATCATGGAGTTTTTAAATACTCTAGGAACTTCTAGCAATTGCTTCTTCCATACTGTAGTAACTTTAAATTAATTGTCAACAAGTAAAAAAAAAAAGTAATTCTGTGCATACATATAAAAGCTAGAAAATACTGTAAAACTATATCTCCATAAAATTACTACATGTGAATAGATTATTCAGCTAATATTAGTACTACTGCCAGGAAACAATGAGGTTATTGTATTAGTAAAAATGTAGCATTAGCGACCTGTGGTTTGTAATCTTCGGTTACCTTGGTACCCAGATGACTTGTCAGTCTGCGAGGTACAGAGTAGTTATTACTAGAGCTCATAACACTGGCTGTCTCATGGTCCATTCGAGCAGCAGAACCCTACAAATTAAAACAATTCAATACAGTACAAAGTCTAACTGAATTAACAATTATTGTCTAATTGCATCCCATTTCAGCACTAGATCATGAAATCATAAAAATCAGTTATGAATTCTCAATATATTTTGGCTAAGTTAGGTCCTTGCCGCCTTGACACTGCATAGATGTCACTGTTAAGCTGGACTTCATTACAATTTCTCCCAAAACCCACTGTCAATGGGGTTCTATTTTCAATGGAATTCACAGAATCACAGAATGGCCTGGGTTGAAAAGGACCACAATGATCATCTAGTTCCAACCCCCTGGTGCAGGGTTGCCAACCAGCAGACCAGGCTGCCCAGAGCCACATCCACCCTGGCCCTGAATGCCTCCAGGGATGGGGCATCCACAGCCTCCTTGGGCAACCCGTTCCAGTACTTCACCATCCTGTGTGTAAAAAATTCCTCCTAATATCCAACCTAAACCTCCCCTGTTTCAGTTTAAAACCATTCTCCCTTGTCCTCTCACTATCCACCCTCGTAAACAGCTGTTCCCCCCCCTGTTTATACAGTACTGGAAGGCCACAATGAGGTCTCCCCAGAGCCTTCTCTTCTCCAAGCTAACCAAGCCCAGTTCACTCAATCTTTCTCCACACAGAGGTGCTCCAGCCCTCTGATCATCTTAGTTGCCTGATGAGCAATCAGTCTCTTTGTCTTTGTGTGCTGGGGGCCCCAGGCCTGGACGCAGTGCTGCAGATGGGGCCTCACAAGAGCTGAGTAGATGGGGACAGTCACCTCCCTCTCCCTGCTGGCCACCCCTTTTTTAATGCAGCCCAGAACACAGTTGGCCTTGTGGGCTGCAGGCACACACTGCTGGCCCGTGTCCAGCTTCTCATCCACCAGGAGCCCCAAGTCCTTCTCTGCAGGGCTGCTCTCAAGGAAACCTTCGCCCAGTCTGTATGAACACCTGGGATTGCCCCAGCAATTCATTTATAATTCACTTATAATCTCTATTTTCATTGAAAAAAAGGAGGATTTTGCAACAAGCTGAATTAAGATTTTAAGGAGTGAAAAAAGGTTGACTCTACATTTATGTCAGATTACATATTGCGTAAAACTGTATATACATCTCTATAATACAATCAGATAAGCAAGAACTGACAAGATAAGAGATTCATCTGGACAAAGACTAACCATACTTAAATCTGTCTGTATCAAAAGCAAATTATAAATGGATTAAACTGTTTTATTTTTTAATAGAAAGCTATAAAATGATGATAAAATTTCCTGCAATTTTCCTGAAAATTATAATGAATAGCATGTCCCTACCTATGTTAGCAAGACCTCTTATTAGCATATTTGCCCTTTAAATCTATTTTGTGTATTTACATTTTTTCCTTCACACTGGTGTTATCTACTCACTCTTTATTTTTTGTCTTTGCTGTTGCTCTTTCTTTGTCTCTTCTTCCTACTTGTGAAGTTTCCTGATGCCACTCCTTCCTCATTCAGTTTGGGAAACTAAAATAAGTATCTGAGTAGCCAACACTTTAAGAGAATAGTGTTCTATTTACTTCACTTCTGTACAGGTGAAATTCATCTTCTATTGCAACTGAGAAGAATGCTTTACAAGATTTAAGTCTTCTCAAGCGCAGATCTGTTCCCTGTACAGAAGGAATGTCGTTTTTCCTCTAACATAAGGAAGAAAATTTTCTAAAAGTTCTCCACTTGTTCTGCATACTTAAGTGAATGTTACCCACCATGATGAAAACAGATGTTGATAAATATTTATTTGGAATCATGTTTGCTCTTTCAATGTTATATCTGCTCCACCCCTACATAAATCCCATAAGTTGAAAAATCATATTCTGTTTTTAAACACTAACTGTGAAGGAATCACAAAAGTTTCACAAGCATAAGAAATCATACATACAACCATGACATCTAAAAAGTCACGCAAAAAATAACAATTTTAAAGCATGTTTTAAAGTCATGTTTTAACATGACTGGATTGACAGAAAAAAAGTACCAAGCATTTTCTCTGCTTTGTGGTTATTCATGAAGTAGGCAATCTAGCTGATTTCCTTCATAAAGCTTGAAAAATAAAGGAAAGCAAAAATTTAACTTTAATGCCAATACAGTATAATGGAAGACAGTTGGAAGAAGGTACAGAAAAGCACAACTGAATCCTGAAAAATCCCAGCTTCAATTGGTAGTATTTCAAGTGACACTGATTATATGACTACAAAATAATTAGATCTAAATAATTTGGTTGCGTTCTACTTGTAGTGACTGCTCAACAGAACAAAGTGTATTGAGCTGGTTTATCAGAAATAAACATTATGCACAACCCATTAAGCCTCCTCTCTCTGGACTTGTACTGGAAGTAAATAATCCCCAGATGTCTTAGAATACAGATTCAGATCCCTGGATCTATCATCCTCCAGAAGGAAAGGATATATGTTTTAAACATTTTTATGAAGCAAAGTTAAAAATTGCTAAAAACACAGGAGCTCAAAAGAAGAATGAATGAATCCTCCACTTAAAAAACTCTGCCAGAATATGACAATCCATTCTTCCTTCCTTCCCTGTGAAGTATTTGTTCCCCAAAATAACTCCAGATTCACACAATAAAGATTGATGATGCACCCACAATGCATCAATTATTTAAGTACATTATGCTTTCAACCTTCAAGCTGTGCTGAACTATTTATTTTCTCCAAATAACACTGTCCTAAGATTGAGAGTCAAAGTCCCAAGCAATTGTTCAGAGACGGGTGACAGAAGTTAATTCCAAATGGTTATCAAATATATTTCAATATGCTTAATGTTTAATCAGATGAAATATTCTAGCCACGGCAAAATTTATACTGTTTCTGGTAAATCTTCTTGTACAGAATACTCTCAGAAGGATTTAAGTAATTCTGTTTCTCTAAAGTAGCAAAAATATTTTGCAAATGAATTCAACTATTAAACTTCAAGGGCAAAGTCCGAAAATCCAAATTACTATTGGGAATGTGTCACCTACAGTTAGAAAGTGAATGAACATTACTGCATGGTAAATAAATATTTTTACCCACAGAAGGAAGCCATACATTTTGATGTTTCTTTTAAAAATACAAAAAGAATTTAACACAACCCTCAAAATAATTCTTGACATGTATTTCACTAATAAAAGGAACAGCAGTGACTGACCATTGAGAAGCATTTAAATAACTCTTCAGCACGCTTTCAGATTATTTCATGAATACTACTGTTTCAAAGCATTATCTAAAATAGTATTAAAGAACCACTAATGATCAGCTTGCCATTTAATTCTTCTATTTAAAATGACTGATGCTATAATGATCGCTTCTGATGTAAAAATTGAACCATTTCTCATAATTAAATCATACTGCTATTGTTAAATTTCAGCTACAATAAAATAACATTCTCTGTAGTCACTTTTGTTACATTTTTTCTTAGCATTAGGTGAATTAATTATTTTAACCAAAGAAAACCATTTCCTGTATTACGAAATGCTTATATTTCACCTCATAAAAAACATTTCCTTCCACCAAATACAATGAATTACTTAGTTCTAGACGCAATGAAGAAATTCATAAATCTTTTTAAAATATGCAGGCATGCAAACACTGTACAGTATATAAAAACACGTAACTCTGTATTTCCAGAATACATCAATAAACAGAACAATCAATTTACCTGACCAGTATTGCTAGTTGACATACTGATTTCTGGTGCTCCTTGACCTTCGCTCTGCCTCTCTGTATCATGGGAACCTGCATCATGCTTGCCTTGAGGTGCTCTCTGTCAACGTAACAGTTTATGAAATCATATAGAGAAATTTAATATGCAACCATTCAATGCCCTCTAGACTGTGAATCAACAATGCTGCATCTTCACAAAATCACAAGACAGTATTTTGTATTTCATGTCACTTCGCTTCAATAATTAACAGCTGAGACTGTCTTAGAAAAACTGAAAGATAAAAGTAAAGCATGTCCTCTGAGGATTACAGCCCTGCAAGACAAAGGATTTGCTGTGAGACACGGAAACACCATTTTCCATCAGCTGTGCTCATGTTGCTATCAGAAATGTAACAGAATTGGAGCAAACAGCTGTCTTCCCTGCACTGTCACGTGATCCATGCATATACCAGAGACCACAGCGAGCACAGTTAAATTAAGCTTACACTGGAAGACAAACAATTTCTGCCTGAAAAGAAGGTCAACCTAAATTTTAACAGCAAACACTGCAGGAATAACTAGCTTGATACCAATGAAATTTACATAAATCTCCCACCAAGATGTATCAGCAAATCAACACCAAAATCAGGCCTTTAAATACAGTTCCTTTAAGAAGGAAATAGAATAATTGAGCTTTGTTCAGTATGCGAAGTATCCAACATCACCCACTAGCATGCTTTCAAAACAGCACATAAGCCTGCCCTTACTGAAGTCTGGAGATGAAAAGGTATTGCCTTACCTCAGAAACAAGATTCTTTTTATAAAATTAGTTTTGACAATTTCTATAAAATTTGTTTAGAGGCTACTGCCATACACATATCCCTCTCATTTGTTTAAATAAAATTTCTTATGTTCAGTTACTACAGCGTCCTAAAATGTTTTTGGGCAGTACAGTCTGCAGTCTGCCATGCTTTATGGAAACATCTCTTTAATTTTTAGCAAAAACGTACTTTTCTTAAATGTACACACATTAAAATTTTTTCAATTACCTAAAATATGTTAGCTCCCTTAGGCATGTGGTGATCAAACACAGTATCACCAGTATGCCCCCTGAATTTGTTCACACAGACACTAGTGTATGAAACCCAGAAAATATTTAACACTAAACGATATCAGAAACCATAATTACAGTTCTGTACCATAAAAACAGTATTGTACTGTAAAAACAGTCATTAACTAACTAAATGTTTAAGACAAACATTAAAAAATGACACATACATCCAATGAACTGATGGAAGAAGACTTGTCAAAGAACACAAGGAAATTACGTAACAAAACTGAAAATAATGATTGGTAATATTTTTCTTAAACTGCGTATTTAGTTATGGAAAATAAGCAGCCCATAAAGGAAAACTCACAATTTTGGAAACAGCGTTCCTGTTGTTTTAACCAAATTTTTCATTTAAAAAGTCAACAACTTTGCCAGTATACACAAAATTTTATGGCTATTTATGTTCACATAATGACTAAAGACATTTCAGTTCCTGATGCAAGAGTAAGAGCTCAATCAAGATCAGGCCTTGCTGTAAAATATACAGAATACAGCGTATGATGACTATCTCTCTCACAGTATTTTCAATCTTGAGTGAAGTGTAAGGGTGAGTTTGACATAAAATTTGCACCCAAGCTTCCTCTGTAAGTAAGGACAGTATTTTCCAGTCACTAGATAACAATAATTTTCAATCTCATGAATAAAGCAGTATTCAGTGTTCACAGAGGTCAAAAGCAGAAATGTTCATTAGCAAGGCACAGGGTTACCCTAGGGGATAGTATTATTCTTCCAACAATAGCCCTGAATTAGGGGCACACTTTCTTTGAGAGCTGATGGTAGAATGTTTATCAAAAAGCTTTGATGCACCTAGAGCACAAACAGGGAGACATTTCAATCTTCCCAACTTCCAGCAGAAGTCCCCTCAGTATTCTCTGTTTCTCTCTTCTCACTGATCTAAGTTGTTTACCACATGCTATTTGTTAAAGAGGTGGCATCTCATTCCCCCTAAAAGACCTCAAGAATATGCCAGTATAAAAAGTAATCAATATAACATCCAATTTCATTCATAATTGTAAGATCATTCTTAACATTAGAAGCACAGCTGATCATATTTTAAATGCAGTGTGCACTCGCAGCATGCATAGAGATACACACCCATGTTATTGTCACATGATTCAACTACGGGACTGAATGGCAAATCTGTAAATTCACACCAAAGATTTTTTACCTCTTTAGCTACAGAAGACTGGCATAATGGAGTTAACAGTAATATGGGTAGGAGATAGCAGATATTTACTGAAAAACAATTCCTTCATATAGACATCTACCAAATTAAAGTATTATATTACATATATGTATTATATAAAAAGTGTATGCACATGTACAAACATGGATGATTAAAATAAATTCTGTATAGACACAGCATTACTGTAAGTCAAATAATATTAATCTCTGACAGACTAGGGCTCGTATATTAAGAACAGTACAACCCTAATAGCATAGCATAATATAATATGATTCTGTAACACATCTACAAACACATAAGTATATATTACACACATATATATTGCATATATACATATATATATATGCAATACAGTATATAATGCAGACAGTGCAGCAAGGATAATGTAACCACTGCAAGTATGCTGCCTCTGTGCATTACTTTTTACTGAAGATAGAACTGGTGGGTGAAAATATTTAAACCAATCACATCAACAAAGAATCAAAAGAATGTATACAACAGCAGATCCTGTAATCTCTACACATGGTGGAGAATCACACAACAGTTACAGAATGAATAGTGCACAGACCCACAGTGTTAAATAGAACTTATTCTGGAACATGATTTTTGCGCTTACAGCCACCTGTCATTTCTGAATTCAGGCATCACACTACAAAAGTAATTATAAGCTTTGAAGTTATAAAGCATGCTTGTTTGCTTTTGTAGTAGCAAAATGGTTACATATGTGCCTATTTTACCAAGATTGGAGTAATCTCTAGATCTTGTCTCTATGCTTTCAATGTTTCTCAAGTCAACAACTATCACATCACATAATTTTGCAGTATGTACTAGCAGAAGAAAGGAAAAATCTCTACATTTCAAGACATTTGCAAGTACAAAAGGACTTGATCATTTTTGCTAAAATAGCCAATCAAATACTTAAATGCCTTGTAATTGTGAGTTGTAATAGCCTCCTGTGTATTTATTAGGACTAAAGACTTTACTACACATTGAAGAATTTTTTTCAAAATATTCAATGACTATTATTTTCTGAACACTGAAAACTAATTTTTTCTTCTCTCTCAAAAGATAAGCAAGCCCTGAAATTGTTTATCAGAAATTCCTCTTCAGAAAGGTATGTACAACTGATCATTTTATTACTTGATGAAACCAAGCCACAGCCTTTATAACACACTGCATTTTTGTCTTTTAACTGCAAATGCTAGTAGAACTTTTAACTGACTTATCATTAGTGATTAATACTCAATAATAGCATGAAGAGTAATTCCAGTATTTCTTCCTCAGTTAATAGATGAGAGAACAAGTAACTGACTATGCAAACTGACTAGTTCAATAACTGTGAAATCACTAGTTTCTGCAAATAATCCTACCCACCAGCTTATTGAAATGATTTCTTTTTAATAGATATACCAGAAACAAAAGAAAGCTCACTAACCTCTGCTTCTGCTGCTTGTGATTGCAGGAGCTGTCGTATACGAAGAATATCCTTCTCTATCTGCTGAATTCTTGCCACCCTCACCTGAAAGGAATGTTTTTATTCAAAAACACCTTTTACTTATTCTGTATAATGACAACATGGAAAGTTTATTGCAAATACAGCTAACTACAACAGCTTATACAAACAGAACTACTTCATTCACGCTGTAATTCAAGTGTTCTTCACAAGAAAACACAGGCATGATTGCAACATTGAAAATATAGTGGTTAGTTAGGTCTCTAATAAAGCTAATACTTTTTAGCAAATTTTTTCACTGCACTCTCCACATAGAAATTTGAAAGAATTTATAATGACCAAGCATCTTCAAAGTAGATAATACTGAATGACTTCTATTATGTTCAGTGATTATGACGATTTGGGTGCTCTGTTAACGTGAACAGTCTCTGAATATTTTCTGCCCCTACAAATCTCAAGGAATTTACAAGGCAAGTTTTAAAGCTACATAGTGCTTCTTTGGTCTGTCTGGGTTTACACAGACATTTCTGAATCAATCTGGCTTTCTTTATAGGAAGCTGTATTGCTACTCATTTCTCAGTGCAATCATTCTGTGGTTCATAAATGGAATGCTGAAAAACCAAATTTTACAGGATGCACATACAAGCTGTATTGTGAAGCACAGGATGAATTATGATTCTCTGAAACAGCAAGTGAATAAAGAAAGAGTTAAATAATTGTGTGCGCTTGATAATATACAGTCGTTGACTCCAAAAGTGGGCAGAGAATAATTAGCCCAGTAACATCAGGATATGAACAGAACACTGAACTGATTAAATACTGCTGTTTTATCTGATGGATAGATTAATAAAATCCTGATTGTTGTACCTAAATAACAGGTTCAGTGTTATAGTAAAAAAAAAAGAAAGGTTTTGTGCATCTAGTGGATGCTGAAAGGATCGTTATAACCAACCTTATTTAACATCTTTACAACCTGAAAATGAAAATAAGATGAACTTTTTAAAAAGATGTTTCCACCAAAAGATACCCATGGAATAGAAACACAATGTAATCTCAACATCTTAGAAATAAAGCATATAAATACAAAGTGGAGTGAATTCCTGAAACATACATCATCATAACCTGTGGGAAAAGCATCATGAACACCAACACTTAGCAGAGGTGCACAGCTACAAACAGAGAAGCAAAATTTTGAAAGTAGTACATAAAGAAGCTCCACAAGAGTTAAACAGATCACTCATTCGACAAAAAGGAATTACTGGAAATAACTGTACACTGGTGAAGTGATGACTGACAATGTGCCATATGTCTGTAATTCAGAAGAATCCTACAGAGCTGCTGGAGTGAGTCCAGAGGAGGCCAAAAAGATTATCAGAGAGTTGGAACACCACACCTGCGAAGATGGGCTGAGGGCTTGTTTAGCCTGGAGAAGGGAAGGCTTTGGGGAGACCTCACTGTGGTTTTCCAGTATTTACAGGGAGCTTACAAACAGGAGGGAGACAAGTTTCTTACTTGATGCGATAGCAATAGGACAAAGGGGAATGATTTTAAACTACAGAGTGGAGATTTAGGTTAGAAGGCAAGGTGAAGTTTTTCACTGAGAGGGTGGTTTGGCATTGGCACCGGCTGCCCAGAGAAGCTGTGGATGCCCCATTTCTGGAGATGTTCAAAGCCAGGCTCAGTTAGGCCTGAGCAGACTGATCTGGTGGGGAGCAACCATGCCCATGGCAGTGGGATTGAACTAGGTATTTTTAAAAAGGGATTATTAAGGTCCCTTCCAACCAACTCATTCTATAATTCTATGGCACAACACTTCTCTGTCTCTGAGAATGACTTTGGAGTTTCCCTTAAATTTCCCTTAAATTGAGTCTCCTCCTATGTCATCAGCAATTAATTGCATAAAGTACATCAAGGGAATCTGAATATGTATACACACACATCTGAGCATGGGAAAATATTTTTCAGCAGATGAGAAATATCCAATATTGCAATCTGTCAACTACCACTGACAAAGTTTTCAAAAGAGAAAAGATCTGAATCCACATTCACCACATTTTACTTGAAAAATGTAAACATTAGACAACTCTTTTTAATTGATAATTTGTGTTAAAGGGGACTTCAGAAGTTCCATCAATCAGAAGCATGCTTTGTATCAAACAGTGAACAAGCACAAAAAAGAAACTTCTACTGTAAACAAAACTTTAAGAAATTTAATGTAATTTGTTCAGTAGTGAAACTGAAAACAAGCCTGAAGTCAGCATATCACTTAAGGAAGACAAATTATACTTCTTCCTATGTAAACACAACATATCAAAGCACCTCAGGATACTTATCAGTAGCAGTATATGGGCCTTAATTTGATGAAGATGGTAAGGGGAACGCAAAAAAAAATTCAAGAGAACATTCATTTTATTGCATAACTTACAAGAGTCCTCACAGTAGTAAGTCAAACAAGCTTGAAGATGAAAGACAAGATGAAAGAGGGCTCTAAATTTTGAGAAGAATCATTATTTAGTACTCTGCATCTCTGCACTGCATTCATGCACTGCCATGTTTATTACATTTTTTTTATTACATTTTTAACCACACCATTGGATTATTAAGGCATCTGTGTGTCTAGGAATGAATTTTCCAGTGTCTGAATACACTCAGAAAATTGTTTAAATTTTAGAAGTTATGTAAGTAACATCATTTATCTCTATTCATAACATATTCCTACTCATTCTGTAATATTTATTTATCACTCTTATCAAAAGAATATTGTTAGATAAAGCAAATTAACATTTAAAGATACAAATTACTTAGAAATCACTGCTCCAGTAGCACTTTCTAAAAAACATTCCTTCATTTTCTGAAAAATAAGGTCTCATATTTTCTTTTAAAACACTTTGCTTTTATAAAGGTTATACAACTAAGTATACGTGTTAAAATATTAACACTTAGAGATTAAATTTAAAACCTTTTAAAAATCTTTCTTTTTCTCTCAAATGAGAAATGCCATGTTATTAACATCAGGTAAGTGTTGGTGTAGATAGTTAAACAAGTTAAAATAAAGTCCTCTCTTGCATCTTTCTGTGTTACCACTGGTCATGTGGTCATATACAATCCTCAAAAGGAGTAACAAAAAATGACTGCTGTGAGCTGACTTGTGTCAGAGGGAAAAATTCAGAGGAATCAATAACAAATGAGAGGGAGAGAAGATCATCATTTTAAGGTCCTCCAGAAGAAAAGGCTAGTACATGAATTAACTGGCAATAGCAGCTACCAGCTCTCACACAGAATAAATCTCTGGGAATCTTCATGCAGAGAACTCTGCAGTGCTACCTTTTATATACATCGTTTCCTTCCTTCAACTCAGATTTTGCATTGTATTCCGTATAACAAACAATTACAGTAGAAGGAAAATGCAGAACAGTAAGGAGGTTGAAAAACCAGCAAGTTCATGGCACATTTGAACATCATAGTTCAAATATACATGATACAGAATTTGCTTTTATGTGTCTGCACTCCAGAGTACATCTGAACAGCTCTGGCACCTATCCTTCGTATAATGAAACCAAGGGGAATTACCAGTCAAAGCCCACAAGAAGAAAACATGGATATAGTCACTGCTTATTTTATCATCTTTACATAATTAAAGTAGATGTCATTTTTCTTTTTTTTTTTTTTTTAAGTAAACAGGTGTTATAAAGAACAAAACATCTGTGATAAACCCACAGGGAAACACTAACTCAGAAAACATACAAAGATTTCAACATCCTCTTGATAGGACTTTTTCCCTCCTGAAATTCAGGAAGAACAAGTAGGGAAGCAGCTGCCGAAGAGAAATCTTACTTTCAGAGTGAGAGAACTACAGTCAAATAATTTGTTCTAACAATTTCAATTATACTGTCTGCATAAATAACTTGGCCAGTAGCATAGTGCCTGTATCCATTTTGCTTACTTTACCTTATTCTACATTAGCCTGTTAGTAACAAAACTCTGAAGTTTGATGACATGCTGCTAGGTTATGCAACAGAGATAACCAGACATACTCAGGCTGAGCCTGTTCTGCCTTCACTCACAACCAATTGACAGAAGTTGCACGGCTGTATTCACACAGGACACTACTGTAGCTGCTAAACATTGATAGCACAGCCATACTGCTTCCAGATCAGACTAGGTTATTATCCAACCAGACTAGAACAGGGAAGAATGAACTTGGTTCTGTCTTGAGTACATCAGATGAACAGATCCTTACACATCCATTATGGATATACCTGACAGCATATTAGCTGTTTTATTTTATATTAGCACTATTACGGGACATGTATTTTGCAAAAAAATAAAGCCACATAGTTTTTCTGAGAAGTTTAACTCAATGTAGAAAACACTATAAACTCTGACTACAAACAGAACTAGAAATGCTCCATATGTAGCAAAATTTCTGTTCATGTAAACCTGGAGAAAATAGCACTTATTTATTGAAAAGATTTGTTCTTCAAAACATAAAACCAGATTATTTTACCTACTTATTACTTAACATCCATGGAAACAAGCAGTAATAAGTAGCTCAAATAAACAGCCATGGGAGAATAGTTTTTACAACCAGCGAGTAACTGATTATCCTACTTACAGGTTTCACAGTTATGTTTTGGGTAATACTTCCAAATGTGGCTAATATGATTTGCTTACAAAACTGTGCGTGTACTCATCATGAATGCAAAACAACTCTTGGTGAGAGTAAACAACTTCAAGTTACGCATATGAATTGAGGTATGGCCTCTGGTTAAGAAAACCTACCAGATCCTCACTGGATTTTATTCTGAACATAAAGAGGTCTCTGACGAGCATCTTGAGAACTCACTAAGAACTGCAACCGCTTCCATCATACCAGATTTTGATACACTAGTTTTAGAAAACCAAGGTCAAATACCCAACTAGTGCTAGGTTTTTGTGGCCCTCTTTTTAATGTTTTAATAAAAATATATTTTTAAAAACAACTTTTGTTGTTTTTACATTAACTATATTATATATTTTATACACACCCCAATTTGTCTTTCTCAGTGCAGTCCAGGCAAGCCAAAAGGACACATGCTCTAAGCTATCACTGTGCTTACAAACTGTTTAAAGATACAACTATCAATAACTTGATAAAATCACAGAAAAACCTTTTCTGTTCTTTCTAATAAAAACTATACCTGTGCTCGCTTCTCCATATCCTGACAAGTACCCAATTGCTCTTCCATTGCAGCTCTGATTTGCCTTGCCTCATACTCCAGCTGCCTTCTGGTCATATCTGTTTGCAAGGAGAACTGAAATCGAATTACAGAGAAGGCATTTTAGTATCAAATTTATGTAAAAGATGAATGTCTTTGAACAAAAGTGGAACTATTTTTCCACAGCAAAATTCATAAACAAACAGATTATGAATAGTAGATTAGTAAAATATGGTTATGTTATTAAAAAGAAGAACACAAATTGTGTTTCAAACAACAAGCTACCTGCAAGTTTTGCCAAATGACTACATGCAATCTATAAAAATTGAGACATTATTACTCATTACAAGCCTGGAATATTTGGTTACTAACATACATCTGCATGTCAGTAAAACTGTTACACATTCCAGGAGAATCAGTATTTTTGAAAATATCCAGAGGTACAAAACTGTTATTACGATACTATGGCCTCATTCTTACTTTTGTTATCTATCCTATTTTTCAATATCCAGTGAAAAAAACCCTAAATGTTCAATTTATAACAACCACATAACTGAAAGGCACTCCAACTAGTTTATGATATTTATGTAGATGTAAAACAACAGGTCTGCGCAAGCAGTAAAAAAAAAAAAAGCAAGAAAATCAAATTAAGTGCTAATTTTAAAGATGACAAAAAACAGGAAAAGAGGTGGCAGGAATTGCTATAGGACACCTGGTCCCACATTCTGTCAAAAGCAGGGTCTTCAAGTTAGGTATCCAGGCTTAAGTCAAGCCAAGTTTTTAATACTTCCAGCAAGACAGGTTTCACCACTTCTACAAGCAACCAATTCCAATAGTCAGCTGTCCTCATAACAAAATCTTTTTTTCTTATATTGACACAGAATTTCCCATGAATAACTTGTGCCCTCTTGTTCTGTCACCACACATCCTTGTGAAGAGTACCTCTGTCTTCTTGACAGCTACTTTTTAAGGATGAGAAGACATAATTAGACCTCTAGGTCCTTCTCTAGGCTCAACAAGGTGATTGCTTCAGCTGAAAGTTCAATTATTACCCGCATGTACATATGTCATATATTTATTTGAACATGTCAGAAACAGAGAAAGATCCAGTAAACATGTCTGTACATGAAATGAACTAGTTAATATTTTCTGAAACACACCAATACCTTTCTGACAAGACGAATGTAAATTTACTGAACTTTTCATGAGGTCAGCAGTTTTTGAAACTACATAGCAACAAGGGAGTGACAAGTAAAACAAAATGAATTCTATGGAGGATTAAAGTTCTTTCACTTAAAGATCAGTGAAAGTTGCCTTTCTGATGAGGACAGAACAAATTCTTTCAAAAAGGAGCAGTGATGAGCATCACATCTATTCTTAGTATATGGAGACACCTCTGTAACAGGAAGTTACTAGAACAGAGCACAGATGAAAAACAATGACAGCACGAATGAGATAAACAAAACTGGAAGGCAGAAACTTTCGCATAATCTGTGTAGCACTATGTAATCAATAATTACTGACAGAAAAGAGAAATGCTTCTCTGATCTAAAACTTCCTCTGGTACGGAAAAAGGAAATATCCAATCTAGTATATTCTACTAGCTATTTTTCCACCAATAATATGTAAAAATCATATGAAAGTAGAATTTATAAACCATTTTGATTTTGGGAAAGGAGCTTTTAAGAATGTCAGAAGGAAGCTTTCAGCTACTGACATACAGAAAGAAAGGAAAAGATTGAAGCACAATCATATAGCTCCATTACGGCAGCTGCACAGAAATGAGAAGGTTGTGGATTTCAGAGTGCATTTCATAGACAAAGCTATGGACTAAACTGAAGAAAAATCTGAAACACAATGAAAATTTTTCAAAGATTAAGGCTTTAATTATTCTTAGAAAATTTAAATAGAACTACTGCACCTTTACATTGCTTCTAGAAGCCTACACTACACTGTTTTTGGATGATTATTCAGCTTGCAAGTAAGTCTTCAAGAGCAGTTCTCAGAAAATACTTCAATATTGATCACAGAGAAAGTCAATCTCAGAAAATAGTTCAATATTGATCACAGAGAAAGTCAAAACAGTCAAACATCTACAAATACATAAAACGCTACTAAAAAGACATCAAAAAAATAGGGTCTGCACAGTGTAGACACATTCACAATACTATCCATTGCTGATGGATAAGCAGTAATGAATAAATTGCAACAAAACAGATTTTATGTAGATATTAAGAGAGACATCCTCGTAAAAAGTGTTAATTTAATTGATTACCTGTTGAAATTGAGAGATTTGTATCTTAAAACCTACAATACATTTACTGTGACACAGATACAACTGACAATGCCTTTGAGATCTTTTTCATGCTTTCTCTTACTCTGGTTTTCTGATTAAATTGGCCACAATTGAATGTTATAAATGCTGATGTCCAGCTACTTCACTCCAGTTACTAAAGTGCTTCCATATTCTACTTCCGTTTCCAGGAGGTGGACTAATGCCTAATCAGATTTGACTCTGTCAAGATAGGCAACTAAACTGTACGTGCAATTAATGCACTGCAAATACATCCAAGTTTCTGAGGTCTAACAACCAGAAAACGTCAATTATCTTGGAAACCAGATATCTTCATCTATATGAATATTCATTCGTATCAGAGATCTTAATTAATCAAGATTTGACTACAAATTATTTGGAGATGCTAAGGCAAAAGATTGGAGCAAGAGTATTTACACACATTATAGCACCACTTGTCGTTTTAAAAGAAGAGCTCTTACATAAATTGTGTCTTAGGCTAATACTACTCTCAAAATTAAAACACTCTATTAAATAACAAAAAATTACAGAAAAAAAAGATCTCTGGAGGATACAGCTAACTGATGTGATTTATTTGTCCTAATAACTTTCTGGTGTCCCTTTCTAGTGCTGGCATTCATAGTGGTAGGTATGAATTTTAAAATGAATTAAATGTGAAAACATTATTTAGACCAAGTAAGCTTTACATACTAGTTTAAAATGATTTAAATGAAAATGACATTAGAGAGAATCACCAAGTTCATAAGATATACAAAGCAGCATACTACAGTTACTCACATTTTCAGTAAGGGGGAGACTATCAATCCTTTTAGTAAGGTTCTGAAGCTGGGCATAATACCAGTCCTTTTCTTTCTCTTCCTTCTCAAGTTCCGCAAGCAAAAGAGATCTATTGAAAACAAGCAAGAAATGTCTCATCAACAAATATGAATGCAGAAATGAGCACTGATACAAATAAAAAAGGTTAAGAAACAAGGTTTGAGGGAGAAAGCACTAACCAAGAGTTTAAGAAGGTTCCCTGGCCCCAAATAAACAAATTGCTATGCTGTGCTGAGCAAGACATTTTAATTTCATGTGCACCAGGCCCACAGTTATAGGCAAATATCGATATTTCTTCTATTATTACTTAGAAAACTACAGTTCAGCAGCACTTAGTGAAAGTTAAGCAAAGTTACTAGTCACATGCTAACTCAAATCCTGCTTCTTTTAGACAATAAGCTTTTGTACGTTGCACTGAAATACAGCTGCTATTTAAAAAAAGTATTGGAAATTTTAAGAGTGAATACATCTCAATATCATTTTACTAAATATGATTATTGTTACATCCATTGTAGTATCTCCTCATTAACTCTGTCACCCATAAAAACAAAAAACACCAAGGTAAAGCATGCAATATCAAGTTGTTTCTCTGGTTATTAAAACAACTTAAAAAGAGCATTTTCTACAAAATATTACAGTCAGGGTACATTTGTAGCCATTTAGAACATTTCAAATGGGTATTATAAGCATACTGTAGGCCTGAAAAATACAAGAGAAAGATAAGAAGTTGACTATGTGTGGAGTACCAAATGAAAATTCATTAGAAGTTTTACCTACTATTTTATCCATCCTTCATAAACTACACCAGTACAGTTCTAAAAGTTATCAATATGGTTACACATTATTTATTCTCATATCACTTTTCAAAACACGTAACATTTTCAGTCTTAGTCTGTATTACTCAGTATTACTGGCAAGCATTACTTCCTCTCCCTTAACTTTTACACCTGCCTCTCCTTAGTATTAGCTGTGGTCTGAACAAGAGCCATATGAACTTTTACAAAACACACCAAAAAAGTGTTATGGATAATTACTCTAAGTTTTTAAGGAACAAAGAGTGTACACAGCAGAGTTTTCCCTCAATCACTCTATTAATGCATCCGAAGCGCAACTTGGAAAGATGATAATCAAACCTCCTCATGAAAGAACACGCAGTAAAAATAATTTAAAAGTATGTATTTTAAAGAATCTGCTTGACTGACCTTCTTAAAAAATGCTTAAAACTATTTTTGATAACATTAATACTCCCAAAAGCAAGTATATGCCCTAAGGAATTCCTCAAGTCTTTTAGACAGATTGAATTAAATGTGAGTAGATTATGCTTTGAGAACGGCTGAGAAAGACATTCTTTTGGCCTTCCACTGCTCATTCTCTAACACACAGGACCTGCCCTGCCTGATCTCTGTGCACCCCTTTTCCTTGGTGCAAATATACTGTTGGGTGTTCAAGCACTAGTTGTGTCCTATTTGATAAATCAATTCTGCAGAAGTATAATTAATGCAATTCTTATTAAAAATATTTTTATTTCTAAAAATGTTTTCTAACAGCCTGATCACATTATTCCCACCTGTTGCTGTATCAAGACCACATAAAGACTTACAAATTAACTAGTTTTGCCTCTGGATTCAAAGACCTGCTTGTAGGAAAAATTACTTTCAGCTAAGTGAACATTGATTTTCTCCTGCAAAATGCAGTGTATTCAGTTCATGAGTGAGACTCATTTCGTTCAATCTGTTTTGACATGTATAATGGATGCTAGAAGCAAGAAATGAACTTAGGAACCAAAAAACAATTCAAGACCTGGGGGCTACTCTTTAAATTCAATAGCATCAATTTTTGCTTCTGAGCAATGCTTTATTTGGGCCTACTAGTTTGCTATTATTGCTCCAGGAGAATTTAGATTTTAATGACATCTTTAAGGTCTCTCAGTCCAATGTCTGAAGGAGTGCAGACTGCACTTCAAATTCCTTAAAAATAAGCAGTATGTCTCTGTAGATGTGTTTGATGAGTTGCTCCATACATTTATGTTACTATCAGAGGTTACATCAACCAGAAGTAGAGCTCCTTCTGCAACCTTCCAGAATTTCATGAGGTTAATTAAGAGAGAGCAGAGTTACTACACCTTTGTGCACTCCAAAACCGCTTCTTTCAGCACTGTCCTGATAACAGAGAATATTCTGTCTATCATACACTGTTAGAATCAGTGCAAATGCAACAAGGCAAAAGTAGTAAACTTTTGAAACATCACAGTTTTTATGAGTTAACAGAAAGATTCTAATTTGAACCACTTTTTTAATGGGGAAGTATTTAGAAAAAAGTTTGTAATGATTTTTTCTGAATTGACAAAAAATAAACAAAGCTGAGTCAAAAGGTTCCTTCTTTTATAGATCTTTTCTGGATGATTATGTCAATGTTATTGCAAGTTAAGAGAGAGAAGAGCAACAAAATACGTGCTATGCTACTTGCATTACATAATTAATACTTTCACTTCCATTGGTAGCTAGTATACAACAACAAAATCTTGAAAACCAAACACTTTCTAAGAGATGCTGTAAAGACATAGTTAAGTCATACAGTTAGCCATGAAGAGATAAAAATGTAAGTCCTAAGACGAGAAAATGCTAAAAATCAACAAATTAAGAAAAAAAAAATACAACAAACTGGAATAAAACAAGAAGAATAATCAAAGAATACACATATTTTCATAAAAAAATCAGCACAGCCCCATCACCTCTAGTATTATGTCACAGAGCTGACAAAGATGAGATTATCTAAATGATAGAAGATAAACCATAACGTAAGATAACTGTAGTTCTTAAAATATAGAATCATAGAATCATAGAATCACCAAGGTTGGAAAAGACCTAAAAGATCACCCAGTCCAACCGTTCACCTGTTCCCAATAGCTCCCACTAAACCATGTCCCTCAACACAACATCCAGCCTTTCCTTGAACACCCCCAGGCTCGGTGACTCCACCACCTCCCTGGGCAGTCCATTCCAGTGCCTGACCACCCTTTCTGAAAAGTAATACTTCCTCATGTCCAGCCTGAATCTCCCCTGCCGTAGCTTGAAGCCATTCCCCCTGGTCCTATCACTAATGACACGAGAGAAGAGGCCGACCCCCAGCTCACTACAGCCTCCCTTCAGGAAGTTATAGAGAGCAATAAGGTCTCCCCTGAGCCTCCTCTTCTCCAGGCTGAACATTCCCAGCTCCTTCAGCCTCTCCTCATATGGCCTGTGTTCCAGACCCCTCACCAGCTTTGTTGCCCTCCTTTGAACACGTTCCAGGGCCTCAATATCTTTCTTGCAGTGAGGGGCCCAAAATTGGACACAGTACTCGAGGTGCGGCCTCACGAGTGCTGAGTACAGGGGAACAATCACCTCTCTGCTCCTGCTTGCAACGCTGTTTCTGATACAAGCCAGGATGCCATTGGCCCTCTTGGCCACCTGGGCACACTGTCGGCTCATGTTCAGCCGAGCATCAATCAATACCCCCAGGTCCATTTCCTCTACGCAGCCCTCCAGCCACACCGCCCCAAGCCTGTAGCGTCGCCTGGGGATGAGAACCTGCACCATAGTCTGAAAAAGTGTCTGACCAACAACACCTGAAAATAGCCAGAGAGAAAGCAGGAGAGATTTATTAAGCAGTATATTCTAAGTTGGTAGCCTAAAACATTTTGGACTGGGCTCCAAGCAAACTGTTCAAGCTTTAGATGTTTCTACTCATTGCAGGGGAACTGGACTGCATGACCAGCCCAAGATTCTTCCAACTCAAATAATTCTATGATTCTAAAAATACATATTTCCCATTTCCTGCATCTACTGAGTTTAAAAATGGAGGAGAATTGAGTAAGTGGGAAACATGCAAAACATTTCTTCATACCAGTTGGTTAATTTCTTCCTTCTCAGAAGATCATTTTTCTTGTTCCTTATTTGTTTACATTTTCAAACACCTAGAAAATTTCTTTATTGATAAGCACCTCGTGATTTTGCCCAATTTATATACAATTAATACATGATGTGGTCCTTCCCAGACGCTGCTGCCCACAAGCAAAACATATTTTTCAGGGTGCTAAAATACTGAATGAAAATGTTCTTATGCTGCAGGATTCCAAAAAATGTTAAGTTTTTAAATTTTTCTAATGTTCTGACATCTGTGAAGTTCCACAAACTCTTAGAATACCTATTCAAATGCAACAAACAAACAAACAAACAAACAAAAAACTACCAGCAAGTAATCCATGTTAAAACACCAGAACTTAGCAACAAACACACAAGGCACAGCAAAGTAAGTGGTTAATTCCTTTCCGAATTCATACTGCTTTGAAATGCATAGACCTATATTCTCCACTCTAAATTCTGATTTTTCTGATTACCCGGGGCTCAGGTCAACACCTCAAGCATTTGCAGATGTCCTGCAAAACAGCATAAAGAGCTGGGCAGTAGTGATTATTATTTCAGTAATAAATTAAGCCAGATGTTATCTGGTCATGACTCTACAGAAGATCATCTTCTCAGCAGCACAAATCTTTACTGCCACGGTTGCAACAGTAACACTGTCAGAACTTTACTGAAATTAAAATAACCCTTTCCCTCCCATCACTCTGGACTTTATTGCTAAACAAAAATGTCCAAAGAACAATCACTTTAGAATCATTTTTTAGAATCATTTACTAATTGTAGTAAAAGATTACATTGTAAACCAGACGTATTGCAGTAACCAACCTGAACTCCAGTTGCTCTAAATTAATGGTCCCTTCTCTGAATGACCTGGAGTCCAATGACTTCTATTGTAACTGAGAGCCCCAACTACACTTAAAAGATTTAAGTACCATATATGGTAAAAAACAGCACTGGAAATAACAAAAACTTGTACAATATTTTGTTAAGGTGGATCATGAACTACTGCCAGGTTCTCAGTTTGGATAAGAAATAGGAGTGCCCTGTCCTTGTGAAATACGACATACAGAGAGCTCTACAAGCAATACTTTAGAGACTAGGATAAAAGACTCTAAGAATGGAAAAACTTGAGAGGGAAAAGCCATGAGTTCAAATGGCAGATACATTAGATTCTTTAAGACTGAAGTAAGCAAGTGGGAAGAGATTCCTGGATTCCTATATACAGCTTTCCAGGAGTCTGCATTTTGAAGAGGAAACAAACATGACCACTGAGTAAAATCTGAGATAAACAGAAGTGCTGCTAGAGAAGACTCACTATGGATCCATGGGAAATTACTTTCGTTTCAGCAAACGAGAGGGACCTAAAAATAGTATTTAAATCACAAAAGCTTTCCTCAACACCAGGAAAGGCCATTTAAAGTGGGAGTTCAAGGCTGCTGCTCCACAAACAATTTACTTCCCAACAAATTTTTGTATTACAGTTCCAAATAGGTTTTTTTTTTTTTTTGCTTGTTACAACTACTAAGCTTAAAATATAGTGCTGCTGATTGTTTTTCAGCCCCACAGAATTACACCCTATCAATCAGCAGCTTGCAATGACCAAATCTTTAGAAAACCCAAAAAGTATGCCTCTAAAAACATGTGGGATTTCAGACAGATTTATTTTTAGGTATGAGGATGTCTTCAATGGAGACAGCTACCTATCTCTTACATTTCCTTCAAAAGTGATTGATAACATACTACAGCTCTGCATTATGCCTGTGCACTTCTTATTAAGTGGTTTAAATAACTGACCAACCAGCCATGGTTGTCGTAACAATTTGCAAAACACAGAAAGAAATTGCACCATCACATTGCCAGTTTTAACGTACCAACTTACCAATAATGGTGAGGAGATACAAATGGGTATGAGATGCCATGACAGTCCAACATTTGTAAAATGCTAATCATCCGATCAACGTAAATTAACCTTCAGCCAATGAACAGTAACCACAGCATGCAAGAAGCAGAAAGCGTTTTATGTGTTTTAAGACTTTCCTTTTTCATCTAAATATAATACAAACTCCTGGTTTCCTTACTTGTTACAGTAAATATACCTTTACGATCACAAATCTTACAGCTAAATATATAATATTATAATATACATATTATGTATATATAATATATTATATGCGACTAAATTTATCCTACTGAAATTAAAAGTAAGCACATACTGGATGAACAGATAAAAAAAACATACCTCTCTTTTTCTAGCTCTTCTAAATAACCAGTGCTTTCTCTGCTTCCATTCATAAATCCTCTTCTTGGAAACGATCCCATGGGAACAGGACTGCACTCTCCTGAACGGCTTGACACAGACCCTTCCCGGCTCCCATATGAGCGCACAGACACCTTTGGCCTTAATTTCACTCCAGGAAAGCTGGTACTCTCCAGGTTCAGTTCTGGGTAACAGAAAGCAAATATTTTCAGAGATGAAGTTCAGCAGCACATTTGAAACATCTTTCATGTAAGCCCTAAAGTAACAGTAGCAAAAGCACAAAAGCAACTCAGAAGCATCATCTTTTGAAAGCACGTCTTCAAAATGCCCAGCAAAAAATAACAGACAGTGAGACTATGCCAAACCACCAAAGGCAGCACTGGAAAGAAGATGGAACTAAGCTAGAAAATACTATATTGAAGAAAGAAAGAAAGAAAGAAAAAAAAAAGAAAAAAAGAAAGAAAAAAACCTAAGAAACAAGTGAACCTACTTGAAACATAATTTTAAATTTACCTTTAAGTCGTTCCAGTATGTCAATTTGTCCAGATGATGCCATTGCCTCATCCTCAATACTTCCCTGTAGCTGTTTCAGCACCTCCTGCAAGGAATTAAGAGATCCTTAGAGTAATAAAGCACAAAGTGAATACACATAACCAGCACACATGTGCAGACTTATGCAACAGCTACTGAGACACTGGTATAAATTTTATTTCATGTGAGCAGTGAATATAACTTTAATTTCTGTCAAGTAGATCTGCAGTATTTCTCCAAACTATGTCACGATATAAAGAATAGCCTGTCTGGCAGTGCATCTATCAGCATATTTAAAAGTCTTTCTCAAAGTAAGTATTTATCTCTCATTTACAGATGAAGAAATAGGAACACAGAGAAATCAGTCAAATTTATTCACTTGTGTATCTAAAGTTAGCCCTGTAAAAATAAAATTCAGTTACCTAACTAAAAGTTACTACAGTATTTTGAATACCACATTTTTTAAACCCCCAAGATATCAGTAGAAGAACTTGACAGCAGCATAAGCCAGCAGGGATAGTCATCACTGTTCTTATTAATATTATTACTACCAGTACTACCATCATCAGATCTAAGGAAAACAATTAGGTTTTCCTCATGGTGTTTTTCCCTTTGGTTTACTTCAGACTCCTTTATGCAGCTGAAACTTCGAAGACAGAAACATCCTTGTATGTTATTGAAAATACATAGAATTACACTGTTGAAAGAACATATTTCTAATACACAAAAAGCTTCCAACTAAATGATTACTGCACTAAATGATTATTGCACTAAAGGGGTTCTGTAAGCCCCTGGGTCCCTAATGTTCAGTGACCTAAATTCAGGTACAAAATTAAATGCAAGATAGTGAATGACTGCTGCATAACACAACGATGGATACATTGATAGCAAAAATAAACTGAAAAGACTGGTGATAAAGCAAAAAGCCCCTACTGAAATTACTTTTCTTTACCCTCTATTATGACATAGAAAACATTTTAAGATGCAGTAATAGTCAGGAAATAAAAATTCTGAATAAATGGAAGGTACTGCTTACTTTTCACACACAAGATTCTACACTTAGAGTTATATTTCTCCTGCTCATGCCTGAAAGCTAAAGAATTTTAAATATCTTTAAATATCTCCATATCACTGTTAGAATGCAGCACATCTTAACACCAGTATTAACCATTCCTGCAACTTGTACAGAAGCTACCTTTTAAGGGCATTTTACACTCTTCAAAATCAACAAAAAGAGCGACTACAAGAAGTCAAGAGAGTCTTTATTTTGAAGAGGCATAATGTTGTGCTTTTCCTTACTCAAACTGTTGTTCTTCATTTAAAAAGGAGGGAGGGAGGGAGGAAGGAAGGAAGGAAAAGGATTTTGAGTAACATACTGTAAGTGATTCTGCAAATGTAATCTCCAAAAACTAGCCTCTGAAAGTTGAATTATTACAACTGTCATTTAAATAAAACCTATCCATACTGGAGAATTATATGAATGCTTCTGGAAATGGAGATTCAAACTTCCCATCATTTAAAAAGGTTTCTGTCTCCATAGTTCAGAGACTGCAAAGAAACAGAAGTTTTCTGAGGGTGGGGAAGGGGGATGGTGCTGCTTCATGAATATACTCTGGAGTTTACAACTAATTCATAGCTAATTAAATAAAAAAGATCAGATGGGTCAACAGGTAACTCGAAAGTTACTGGTAAGTACCTTAACAGCACAACGTACCCAGATAGGTAGCAAAGCAAACAGAATTGCTTAAGGGCTGCAGAAAAACTCAAACTACTACTAAAAAAAAAAAAGAAACAGAGAGAAGCAATGCTAATAATGCCAGATTCCAAATTCCAATGAGTTAAAATTTAGCAGCGTATTTAATTTTGGAGAACTGTATTTGTATTTGTATTTGTAAATATTTTAAAAGAAGGTATCTGTACAAAAAAGCTTTGGTTATCTACACTTCTCTCTGGCACGAAGAGGAGCATTTACAAAAATTCAGTCAAATCAGATAGCTTTGGCCTCTGTTTGGTTTCTAGCTTCCAACCCTTTTCCATCCCTTTCAGACAGAATAAGCTTTATTATTCATATTCACTTTTCATAAGGTTTTATGTATTCAGAGAATGCCCAAATGACTGCAAATCATGATAAATTTAAATCCAAGGGCAGTTCCAAAGGTAATGCCTCCTGTTTTATTATATTGGTCCACAGTATCAGAAGCAGATGTTGGTGGTATGGCATTAGACACTGAACTTTCCAGTCAATATCCTGTTCCCTGGTGTTGCCGTGTGACAGGTGGCAGCAGAAGGGCAGCCTGACAAAATGGCGTCTGACATAGAAGAAAAGCAAAGATGCACCGCTGAAATCCCTCAGGAGGAAGAAATGGCACTCACTGACATTCTTCAATGCTCAGTGAATGTTCATAGAGACCAAACACTGAGAGCATAGTGAGGGGTGGCTGGTGTGTTTCAAGCAGTGGAAACAGGGACAAGAAAGATGAGTCATGTTCTAGACAGCAATGCACAGCTGTCATACCATTAAATGAAGAGCTTCTGTTCTTTGTTGGTGAAAATACACAGCTAATGTTGGTGACCATGCAAAAACACTGTGTTGTAACTGATTATTTGCTCTATGAAGCAGCGTGACTGTACTCTTTGTATCTGTAGTAGTTCCCATGGAAATAAAAAAAAAGCATTACTTTCACTGTGACCTGCATGTATGAAAACACTGGGAGCAAGAGGCCAGAGACACTCATAGGTCAGTATCAGCTGGAAGACTTAGCAAACATGTTTTGGAATTCATTAGGTCTTTCAAAAGTAAACACGAGCCTAAGTTTTAATGTTTACCATGACTGCCTCTGTATCATTAACACTTGAGGACAAAAACAAGCTTAACTGCAAAAACATGGGCAGTGTTTACAATTTCAGACAGTAACTGAACATCTGTCTGTGTTCTGCACCACACAGAACAGGGACAGTGCACAGTGAATTACTAAATATTATTATTTTTAATCAAATCATCAGTGCTTTTAAATGAGAATATTTCTGACAGAAATTATATTTTTAATATACTATACTGAAAACTTACCATACAATTGGACTTTAAAGTGAAAGTGACTTTTCATGCACAACCCAGTATTGCACACAGTTTCAATTAGTGTTATCAAATGGCAGAAAAAAAGATAACACACTGAAAGCAAAACCATCACCCAAATTCAACAAAAATACTAGATGTCACAGCTGTAGTGGTGAAATCAAAATACTATTTTCCACAGATTTATACGTATTCAAGGTCTAACATGACCCTTCATAGCTGAACTTATTGTCTGAGTGAGCATTATGAAAAGATCCTTTAGTTCTGAACAGTCTGGTGATTTACACTGTTTCTTAATGAAGCCTGGTGGGAGCCTTTCTAATTGGCTGAAGTCTTAGGCAATTGCTCTGGTTGCTTGCCCCTATAACCAAGTCTAAACGATCACAATGATGACAGCACTGCTGACTGAGGCGAAACAAGCTCGTTTTTTAACCTTTTAGAAAGAATAAAGCATTTGTTGTGTGAAATGATGCTCATTTTCATTTCAAATAATGCCACTTACTAAAAGACAATTATTTACATGATGCCACTGTGCTTAAGAGCTGTCAGATGCTGTAACTACACATTCAAGTCTATCAAGATTTTAGTGCAAGTCTGCTGTCAGACCAAGTAAAGTATCCTATTCTGTGTTCAGAAAGAATACTGCCTGAGGTAAGTCAGTAACTATAAAATATCACCAGCTCAATTTCACTGAAATTTTAGAAAAAACTTTTTTCAGTTTTCCAACCAATCTGGATTCTGGAAGAATTGCAAATGCTATGCTTAATCAAAAACACAACAGAAAATGACAAATCTAACTCAATACAATACCACTGCAGGTTCTTTGCTGCCTGACTAAACCTACATTTTAAAGGTCTGAAATTCATAAGATACTAAGTCACTCTCATAACATTTTCCTTTACTTCAGTGCATTTTCAGTTTGCATGAACATAAAAAAGTTATTTGCAAATGTCTAACTGCATTACATGTGCAGGAACTGAAAAAAATTTCCACAGAATTGTTATTTGATTCAATTTGTAAAAACCTGTAAAGTTTAATGGAGTTTCTTTCACTGATATTAGAATTTATAACATGATAAACAAATGGTAATCAATATTTTCAAATTTACTGTTACTTTTAGAGGACGTTTCTATATATTTTCCCATTCCCTGCATATCAAATGTACAGTTGGTACAATATTTTCCTTCCCTGTGCCATGATTTTGCTGTGGCAGTTTCCTTTAAGTACTTTAAGGCTGTTGTCACTCCTGACTCTTCACTCCTATGAAAACCAGGGAAGCGTGGGATACAAAAAAAAAAACATTCTGCACGAGAAAAATCCAGCCTTAGGATAAGGCAATTACTTTAAGATGGAACAGAAAAGCTTACATTAGGAAAAATAAACAATAAAAGGAATATATGTATTTCCTATGCTAAGCATGAACAATATTATCCCTTGAAATACTTGGTAAGTTTAGTCGCTTACAGGTTTGAAAGGGAAATACTGAGATAAAATGGAAAACAAAATTTTGAAAAGAAAATAAGGTATACACTAATATAGCATGAGGTACAGAACCTCAGAATTTAGCACCTATTCCACAGATATTTATTCAGGCAAGGAATGTTTCTGCTGAATACGGGGTTCTACTCTATACTTTTTCAACAACGCGGTTGCAGTTACAATAGTATCTCCATAATACGAAATAAAAATCTTTAGAAATTTAGCCTTAAATGAGGCATTATCAACATCAATGTAAGATTACAGGAGGCAAAAATACAGTAACTAGTACTTTGTTGACGTGCACGTAGGAATTAATCAGAAAAGTCTTTCTAAGTGAGACTATTCACGGCTCATTACATTTTCATAATAGGCAAACATACTATTACCATCTACACTGTAAGATGGTTCCTACAGTTACATGCAGCAAGTATGCTTTAATATTTTTATTTAATACAAATAATAAAAAAATTACTATAAAGCAACATTTATTAGATTTACATTTTTAATAATGCAAG